CTAAAACCCAGTATACCACTTGCAGCCCGTCTTGACTGAGGCTTTCATACATTTTGCAGTGTGTTTACATGACCACTGTACGTGTAGTTAGTAGCAGCATTATGTAGGTGTTTACTCAGCCTGACAAATAGGGGTGAATATGCTAGAAAACACACTAGAAATGTAATTACTTGCTGTTGCTTGCCCTAGACGTATAATTATAGTGACTGCAGAACATAGTCTTTTTCCCTTAGGTGTTGAAAGCCAGAATATGTGTAAATGTATTGCTTGAGTGTTTCAGAGAAGGAGTACACGTTGCTCAGTAGATGTTATGTAGCATTTTTCAAGGATTTGTTGTAATTATCATTTACTGCAATCAGTGTCATTAACATCTTTCTCAGATGTTTTATGGAATTAAATTGCATCCTGTAGGCTGGAGTCATGATTTGGAATTATATTTAATGATGTAGATCAGCAAGATGATGCAGGGCCATTAGTAAACAGAGTTTCAACCATCATTTATTCATACAGTGAAGCCCAGCTGAGTCCAGAAAGACATCTGCAGTGGGGCCCTACTACAGAACATCCAAAATGATTACTTATAAAAGTATAAAAAGCCCTTGTTCCCACTCTGTAGTGTCACCTAATTGACCTCTCCTCTGCTTCAGCACATTAGTCATCAAAGAAATGAAAGATGGAATGTTGTTAGACAACAGCTGTTCGTCTGCATGATTTGAGCTATTCACCTCCCAGTGTGACACAATATTCAGCACTGACAGTGTAGATTAATAACCTGGAGAGATCTTAACACAGAAAAGAGTTCAAAGACCTGCTGTAAAATTCTTATTATTCATGAACACAAGTTGTATTAATTGTAATGGTCAAAGAATCTTCTTTGTGGATATTGTCTTCATGTGACAAGAAAAAACTTTGTTTAAAAATGTGATTGAATACCAGATGGATGAAATTTAGTGTAGATTCCAGGGTTTTGTTTATGAAAGTGAAATTAGTCCAGCTAGCATCAGACAATACGAAGACAAAAAAAAGACAGAAGAAAAAACAAGAGAATCCAAACGTACATAATAATGATCACACCTCAGTTTCATATTTGGTTACTACCTTATTTTTAAACATTTTTTTAAAATGTGCAAAGTGAAGTACACATTCTTAATTCCTTCTCACAACTATTCCACAAGTTTATCCCTTTGACAGATATACATCAATTTTTTTTGTATTTGTCCTTATCCTTGTTTTTTTAAACATACCTATTCTCGGTTCATATTGGATCTGTCTAATTTCAAAACAACTTCACAATACAGTTAGGAAGTAAATTATTTTGTACTTTGTACATTATCTGTGTAGAATTGAGGATAAAAAATTTTTTTAAAGCATCTAAGTTAATAAATAGTGCATTGGTTTGTTCATAACACGCCGACTGATTTACAAATCCTATAGCTTCTTTCTGTAGCATGAAAATTGGATTGGTGATGGTTTTGTGTGTGTTTCCCAAACCTTCACACAGTCGGTAATGTATGAGAGAACAGTACAGTATATAAAGTGAATTCTGATTGAAGATGTCTTTAGTTTTATATATTATTGCAATTTTACATTATTTATATGTGGTTTCCAACATAATTTATCATCAATTGTCACATCCACAAATGTATTTTCATACGCTCTTTTTATTTCAACATCACTGATCGTAATTTTAACTCTTATCAAACAGCAGTGCTGCTGGAGTTTTTACACACTGTGTCCACTCACTGTCCACTCTGTTAGTCACTCCTATCTCATTGTAAATGTAAAGTCAGAATCAGTAGATTTGTTGCTGCACAGTTTGTGTTGGTCATCCTCCAGTCCTTAATCAGTGGTCAGAGGACGCTGTTGGCTGGATATTTTTGGTTTGTGGACTATTCTCAGTCCAGCAGTGACACTGAAGTGTTTAAAAACTCCATCAGCACTGCTCTGTCAGATCAGCTTGTACCAGTGTAACACACTCTAACACACCACCACCACATCAGTGTCACTGCAGTGCTGAGAATGATCCACCACCCTGATAATACCTGCTCTGTGGTGGTCCTGTCTGAGTCCTGACCTTTGAAGAGCAGGGTAAAAGGGTGCTAATAAAGTACGCAGAGAAACAGATGAACTACAGTCTGTAATTACAAAGTGCACCTACATGGTAAGTGGAGCTGAGAAAATAAACAGTGAGCGCAGAAACAAAAAGGTGGTTTTAATGTTATGGCTGATTGGTGTTCTCCTCCAGGGGGCAATGAAGAGCATGAGTCTTTCATTTAGGTTCCCTATCCGAAAAAAGATCACTTTTTTGCCACACTGTTTAGAAGGCAGGCTAAGTACAGTCAATGTTGTCCTGAAATGACTCACTGAGTAAATCACTGTGAATCACTGACTCCCTTTGTTAAAATGCACATGTTCAAGTGTTTCAAGAGGCTACGACAAGGAAAAAGTGGCTAATATTGGTTAGCAAAAAATAACATGTTGCCATAAAGAGCAACCACTGTTCTCATGCAAGTCACATAATATGGATTGATCATATCCAAGAATGACAGTTTTCCATAATGTTAGGCAGGCAAAAACTATAAATACAGTTATTTCTGTTCAGCATTTCACATGCAGGGCTGCAATAAATCTATTAAAACAGTACTAATTATACTCTTTTTGTAAGCAAACATGCAGTTAAGATGTGTTAATTAAGAGCTGACGACATCCACAATAAGCTCAGAAAGGCAAATTGTTCAATATTGTGATGTAATTTATCACAATAACGATAAATGTTGTCATATTGCCCAGCCCTAATTATAAGTTATACTTAGGTTATATGTGACTCAGCTAGTGGACAGTTGCCTTACAAATTCTTTGCACTTGTTCTGGGCATTTGTGATTCATTTGCTGAATTACTCTGCAACATTAGCCTTTTAACATCATTTGAATTAATATGGATCAATTTGACATTAACTCATGGTAATGCTGTGTAAATTACAGAATTGATCTTTGGCCTCAGCCTGAATGCCTCTTGTTGCTAAGGGAGAACATTTCTAGTTTGGCCTTCAAGCTGTTTCACAGCCAAAAGCTCTTCACCAGGAATTAGTCCGTTATTTGCTGCTTCTTAGATCAAGGGTGCTTGACTTGATCCTTTAAAGTTCACCGTGTCAGCACAGCACCAACTGATTTCACTAATGAGCTCACTTCATTAACAAAGACAGGAACTTAAATAGTCAAATCAGGTGTTCTGGTGTGTAGATAGAACAAATACATGTAAATACAGTGGTTCTCATTAGAGGTGGCTGATATGGCAAAAATACGATATCACAATACTTTGAGAGATTTTACAATACACCATATGTCACGGTATTATTTTTCTGATACCTGATCAATTGAAAAGGACAAAGAGAAACCAGCATTGCCACATTAAAAAAAACTTTTAAGAACTATGAATATGATGATTTTTATTCAGTGTTTGACACACTGCTCTGTGCTTAATCCAGTTTAAAAGGCCTAATTATGCTCTCTTAGTAAAGAAACATTCAGTTGTTCAGTCTTCTAGTAGTACTAACAATATCCACAGAATGCTCAGAAAAGCATGTTGCGACATATTGTAACGTAATTTATCATGATTACAATAAATCTCATCATATCGCTTAGGCCTAGTTCTCATGATCCTTAAAAAATCGTATCATATAGCATTTATCCAATTTACAGTTCCCATTCAGTTCTGTTGTGTGGAATGTATATGAGCTGGTATGCACAAAATGATTGTCTCATTGTCGAGGATAAATATAAACACCTTAAAAGCCAAATCAAATTTGAAGTGTTCAACTGCTTGAATATTCAGTAGTAAAGAACTGCTCCTGGACTCCCATGAAACGTGTATAGAAAAATGTACAGCAAATCACTGATTCATTACCTTCTGTACTGATTATCTTCTAGCCTTGTCACATTTTTCCTTTTGGTCTTTATAATTAGTCAAATCCATGAGTTAAATCAACTTTTCAGTCAGGAATTATAATTTCACTCTGTAGTGAACATCAGTCTACAGGGTATAATTCTTGTGTTTAAAAAAAAAAAAAAACTAAACTAAAAATAAAGTCTTTCCATGTGAATCTTTCCATGCCTCCATACATGTTGGCATGATTAATTGCACTTTGGTCTGGCCAAATTATTTCTTGGCCTGCATTTCTTGGTTTTAACCTCAAGATGTGAGTATGCATGTAGGCCTAGTGGCGTTTGTGGAAATGTTCATCAGCTTGTCTCCCAAGATCACTTTTGAGAAATGGCGCATTTTGTATGGAGAAAGCCTGGGAGTGGTTATGAGGTTTGTAAACAACCCCCATGAGTACCATAGTAGGGCTGCAGACTATATTGTTTGTTAATGAATCAAGATATTCATGTAATCAAAGTATTGGTCAATATAGTGCAGACTAATCTTGTCACATTATTGACTCACGAGTGCATTTTCAAAATATTGCAGGGTGCATTGCATTCACAGTATATAGCAATATGATTGCAGTTTTAGTATTTTGTCCATATCATTCAGGCCTGTACTATAGGGTTCTTGGTCACAAAATAGACTCTTTCTTGATCATTTGACTTTACATAAAATTCAGTATTTTTTGTTTAAATGGTATTATGGGTAAACGGTATACAAGTGATATACAGTAGCTGTGGATCAGATTCGAACCTATAAAGACCTCAAGGCGCAACATTGACTCTCACAGTATTATAGATGATTTGTATAAATTATTGCCAAAGAACCTGTAGTTTTTGGAACTGCATTGGCTTAATAGCAGTGACCTTGTTTGGAGTAAGTGTCTGGTTTCATGAATAACATATTTCTTTTTTACATGTTCTTATGTGTAAGAATGTTGGTCTACATCTCATTCAGAGTCTACATAACCAAACATGCCTCTGTCACCGTTGTCTGCAAATGTCTCTCTCTTCAGAATATGTCTGCTTCAGTGCACATTGTACTTGCACTGTAATTGGTTTTTTTCCTATCCTAGGGTGAATTACCATGACGACAGAGCCAAGTTCAGAGTTAGAAGCCAAGCCGGAGCAGCAGGGGGCTGGCGCGGCTCCGCCCCACACAGCCCCGCCCCTCGACGACCAGCTTCCACCTGCAGCTGCCCACAGCACGCCAGTTAGAAAAGAACAGGTATCATCCTGGTTTTTGTGCCAAATCGTGCATGCATGTTAGCATTTCATGTTCATTTTCAAGAAGGGAAGACAGTTAACAGCTTCATGACTGCATTTGAAATGGGGCTGCCCGAAGCGTGGCCTGAAAAGTTCACACATTTTAGAATTTCACAACTGAAGTAAGTGGCAAGGAGTGCCAACCCAGATCCAATTACTGAAATCCCCCAATTTTTTCCCAGCCCACTAGAATGATGAAATATTGTGTAACATGAAATAAAAGTTTCATTTAGACCATGAGTTGATGAAATTAGAACAGCTGTGCAACCTGTGCTCACATAGAGTTAATCAGCAATAGCAAAAACATTGAGTAATTTGATATTTGATACTTTTTACAGCGCATTGAAACAAAAGGAGAAATTCTGTGAGAAATGCACATTCTAAACATTCAGAGAACACCACATTTGTGGTCATAAATAGAGCTCCAGGTTTCAGTCTGTTCAGTCTACACTGAAGAGTATCCATGACGTTTGGAAGATTGAACTGTTTTCTTTCTTTGCTTTCTGATGACTAGAACGGGGCAAGAGAGGCGGGAGGTGTCCCACAGGGGAAACCGGATCACCAGGTGGCCGAGGACGACCTCACCTCCCACAGGTCCTCCTCCAGCAAGCTTTCCAGGTCTCCAGTCAAGGTGACCAAGAAGCCCAAAAACATGCAGTGCAAAGTCACACTCCTGGATGGCTCGGACTACACCTGCGTGGTGGAGGTGAGCAGAGCTTCATGTGTTTCTTTATTTGTTGTTGAACTACCACTGAAAAACTGTTTGTAGCAGGATGTAATGTCTTAGAAAGACTTAAGATTTCTTCTGTGCTTTTATTCATCACACTCATCCAAGCACATTGTTTTATCAGACCACCTGCCCCTGTTGTCTTTAGAGCATCACTGATTCCCAGCTCTCTGAGCAATAAAACAAGAGATATTGGGCTGATTAACATGTCCCAAGATCACTCCAAGCCAAAAAATCTGGGATTGGGTGCTTCATTTGCATTGTACTTCATTTTCATATAAACTACGGTGGGGTGCTGTTTTCCTGCACAACCAGCACACCATTTTCAGTGCATACAGAAAAGCAGTCTACTGGCTGCTCCTTACGCTGAGGATTCTTTTCAATATTTTCAGCACTGTTCTACAGTAACCCATTTCAGCACAGCATGTTGTATGGTAACACCACACTACCTGCCATGCATGCTTAACCAGAGAAAATAAACTTGATTTCTGGTTAGAAACTTATACGCTTTATTTGTTCTTGGTATGATTTGGTAGTTTTTGCTATTGCTTTTATAAAGTGCGGTGTTCAAAGCCTATAAATCACTTCTTGTTAAAATATAAAATGCTTGAAGTTTAAGCATTAGTAGACTAAAGGCTTGTGTTCTTGCTTGTTCTTGCTTTTAATAACGTAATCACAACATAAACTTTCGCTCATGCTTTATGAGAGAAGGCAAGGAGCATTGACAGTGGTTTACAACTCTATCAGTTTAATGAGCACAACAGCGAGTCGAGTTTGATCTACCTTGAGCTGCTACAGAATGTATGATTCAGAATGTTCTGATTCAGGACCTGTACTAACGTCACTACAAGAAAACATGTTGAAAAAGCTTATTGCAAGACAAACATAATTACTTTTGTGCATATTAAAATTGTGGATGACCAGTTTTCAGACATTTATATTGTCCAGCTTGTTTGACAGTTGTGATAGATAGAAACTGTTATGATTTACAATACTGTTGCCAATCAGCTCAAGCCACCTACTCAAATAGGAGCTGTTCTTTATTTGACATTTCACTAGAGTGTAAAAGCTGAATAGAGCATTACGTGAGTTTGAGCTTGATGTATAGTGACGTTTTTCTACAGCGCATCCTATGGGGCATAATTGCACTTTATATTATCTGTTTGTCCGGTGCGTGGTAGCCTTTAGATGGCTCTAGTGGTCTTTTTGTGCTTCCTTTTTTGGACTGAACAGAAAAGAATCCAACCAAAACGTAAGATGCAGGCGCTTCGCTGCCCTCGAGTGGAGTACAGAGTTCAGACATGGTTTTTAAATAGGAGAACGTTCAACATAAGCTAACTTTCTTATCAAAAATACAAATCTACTGCTTGATTTTTTTGACTATTTTGATAGTCATACTCATCCCTGTTACACTCTCTAGGAGTGTTTATAAAGTGACATATCTCCGCTTGTGAAAATGGACATATACAGAAAAGTGGAAATGCCTTAATGTAGGTCTAGAAAGGTTAAAGCTTTTCCTTATTCCTTCAAAAGAGGAATGTGATGCAAAGTTTAATTTGAAAAAAGTCCTCAACAGTGTCTTTGTAACTGCTGAAATGTTAAAATGGAATGACTTTATGTAGTTGGTCTTTATCTTATGTCAGCACTTTCAGTCTGCAAGGGAGGAAACTGTATCCGACACCTCTAATGCAAATTCATTCATTCAATCGACAGGCTAACAAGTCATTAATCCAGACTTGTTTTGTCATTGGCTACTGTTCTTTACTGATCCTCTCAAGTAGTGAGGAAAATCTAATACACTAAGACTCTAATTACATGCATTGTGTGCTCATCTGTTGTGAGTCACGATATTGAGCTGATTTGTATGAGCCTTTTTTTGTCAGCTTGAATTGGCTTTATCTTGGATTGCATTGTAAGAAGTGGAAATCAAATCAAATATGTAATTGGAGGATCTCAAAGAACTGTCTATAATAGGTTTATTCATGATGATGCCTTAAATGTGACTAAAATTATAAAGGCAGTAATAGAGATTTTCTTTCACCTTCATGTGTTTCGTAAATGCCCTGTCCTATCATGCGTACTCTTCCTCATTGTCCAGAAAATGACCTCAAGTGTCTCACAGGGTTTTCCGCCCTCCTTTTTTGTAGAAATGAGCCCCATCCATCAGGCAGAATAAATCTGTCGATTTATGTGTTTACTACCTCGCTGTCTGAGCAGGACAATGCTGAGCGCTAAACGACCTCTGCCAACAACTGGAAACCAATCTACTCAGAGTGGTTTTAGCCTCTGGCACTGGATTTGGTCAGATTTGTATTTACATCCAATAGGAGGATGATTAAGCATTGCAGGCTGCGTAGTGTCCATGTGTGGGTGCATGTGTGTTTGCTGAGATACACAGTACTGTGCAAAATTCAGAAACCACCTCGTTTTATATATTTTTTTTTATTATTATTTTTTATTATTTTATTATTATTCAGTCAAAATGGCCATTAAGTACAAGTTATTCATGTTTCACTATCAGGAAAAAGAAGGAGAAAACATATATTGAATAGAAAATTACAGAAAGGCAACAACTGAATATAATATCTACATTTTTCAGTGTATCCACTCTATTCTTTTCGTTAGACCTGATTTCAGTTTTTCAGAGAAATTTGCAGAGATGTTTTTACACAACTCCAAAGTTCAGTATTAGAAGTTGGTTGCATGTTCTGCTTCTTACAATCCAAATAATAACAAATTTAGACTCATCAGTCCATAAAACTTTACTCCACATCTCAGATGTCCAGTTTCTGTGTTCTAGTGAAGATTTTCTTGCTTGTCTGTTTTCTTTTCTCAGAAAAGGCTTCTTGACAGCTACACATCCTTTCAGACCCATAGCGCTTGAGGGTTGTTTTCTTAGTAGTCAAAGGATGGACAGAAACCCCTGTGGATTTTTCAGATCTGAAGCAAGAGTGGAGCTTGATTTTCTCCTCTCTCTCAAAGATGAAAGCTTTCTGTACTGTTTATCTGATGGAGGCAGTTTTGCTGGTCTACCAGATCTTGCAGGAGTCCTGTCTTCCCAGTATTTTTCAATCATTTTTTGAACTCCAGTTTTGGAAACTCCTGTTTTGTCACTTATTTCTCTTTGATTTTCCCTTTCTTTAATCAAGTGGATTATCTAATAGCTAAAAATGCCTCCTGAAAAACGAATAACTTGCGTACTGGCCATTTTAGATGGAAATTAAATAAATGAAAGAGTGATCTCTGACTTTTGCACATTATTGTTCTTTCAGTGATTTAAATTAGTAAGAATTATTAGACTAAGCGATGTGAAAAGATGTTAATGAGGAACATATCATCCAGACACACTGTATTCTGATCACCTGGAGGGTGGTAGTGTTATTATTTCATTTTTGAAGCTGAGAAGGTTTTGGATTAATCTATGTAGACCAAACTCACAGCTCAATATTCATGCACCTGTACCTGCATAATCATTTGTATTTTTTCCTTAAAGTTTGCTAAATGATTTTGTGTGCATGATGAGTCCTTAGCATCTAACGTTTAGTTAGATGTTAGCATTTTAGTTAGCTCGTTAGAAGGAGTCACTTCTGTTACTCAAACTTCCCACTTATTAGACATGAAAAACTGCTACTTTAATGGCAGTGACATAAAGTTTTCCCTGTTTTGATCAGTGTGAAACATGGTTTTCAGATTCCTTTCTTTAACTTTATATTGGCCTACATTGATATTAATATTTCACAAACATGTGTTTGCACTGAACATCTTGTAAAGCCAGATGCTCCTCTGTGTTTCATCACAAGAGTGTTACAACCTGAGCTGAAATTTGTAAAAGCGGTGTTAGCGGTACTTGTCAGAATTCTGCATATGGGCAGATATTTCTCATTTGTAACTCTTTGAAACAAGCAGAGAAACTCTGATGAATGTATGAATTAAACTAAACATTTTTAATATTTGCCTTGTTTTGTCATTTTTGTTTTTGCTGCAAGTGGAGACTCGAACCTAATGATACAGATTGAACATTGAATGTAAATGTAGTTCACTGCATAATTTTCTTTGCAATTAATACTTAATTGTGTAATTATATTTGTATAGTATTGCAAAACAAAAGTTATAGATCTTGATTTCTTAGGGTTAAGATGCAAACATCCTATCATCAGGAGATCTCAAATTCAATCCCCCGTGATGCTACAGCCATCTTTGGCTTGGAGTCCAAGAGAGCACAGTTGGCCTTGCTCTCTTTGGGTGGGTAGGATGGCCCCCCATCACTCAGCGCAGTGGTAGCCAGTGCAGGCATCTGTTACCTGAAGTAACAGAACTGGTGGTTTGTGTTCTCCTCCAAGCTCATTCAGCTGTCCAATGGTTTTGCTTTAGCGGCAGTTTGAAAAGATGTGGTGGCTGGCTTCACCTGACTTGGAGGAAGTTTGTGTTCGCCCTCTTAGTGCTGGTGGTATTGTGTGATTGGGGAAGTCCTAACTAGTGGGTGTGGGTTAGGGTTAGGGTTAGGATGTCTAAAAGTACAGTTAATGTGACTGTGCTGGAGAGGAGTATTCCAGGAGGAATCAGAACCTAGATTTCCTTTGAATTTAGAATGCTAATTAACTCACATTTTTACTTTTGGATTTTAGGAATTTGTGGTTTGTTTGTGTCTGAATTACGTCACCTATAATCTCATGAATCCACTTTGATCCCTTGGCTCAAGGAATCAGGATGGAGTGACAGATTTGTATCTGCTGAGTGATTATCAATAAGGGATAATGTCAGCAGTAAAAAGAGCTTCTCAGTGTTGGTGGTGAGCTTGTTCAGGATCATTTATCTTGAGCTTGTAGTCACTACTTGCAAGGTCTGGATTCAGTCATTGATTAGCTGAACCAGAAATGTGTTGAAATGTAGCCTGTAAAGAATTAACTATATAGAAATATCCTTTTTTCTGCTTTTTCTTTTTTTATTTTCTCTTTTTAAATTAATTTTATTTATTTAGAAATAGTTAAAATGATTTTAACATACATTGAAGTTGCAGATATGTTTTTACCTTCCTATAAAGTTACCGTTTTAGGTTTTGTTGCAACAGCGATATGCAGTTTGAATAATTTCAGCTAAGAGAGTGTATGAAGTGCAAGTATGTCACATAGTCTTCCGTCCCAGTAGTGTTACATATATACTATATGCCCCTGGTCTTTCTTCTGTGTCTGTAATTCCACTGCTTAAAATGAGCTGTATTAGTGCTAGGTGCTAATGCCCATGGCTAATAGCAGCTTATGGTGGTGAGGAACAGCTACGCACTGCAGAAAGCTGATTCTAGTGTCAAATCCTGGCCCCCAGCCTTTTAGCACACACTGAGCAACTGATGGCATTATTAGTCAACTGGAAAGAGGGATGATGAGAGGAGGAGTGCAGTGGAGGAGAGCAACAGCCTATCCCTCCACCCCGCCCTCTCTGCGTGCCTCAGACAGTGTCTCTGAGGGAGGCAGGACCTTATCTGCAGTGCTGTGCCCTGAGCTAAACACAAACACTATTTCTGACAGTGCCAGGCCCAGCAAATATCCCTCATGCTCAGACTCTTACAGCAGCTTTCTGAGAGAGCAGTCAGTGTCAAATTGGAATTTAATGCTTGAATATTCTGAGGTAATGTCAAGTACAATAGAGTGAAATGAGGAGAAAATTCATGTTCATGGTTTTTCTGTAGTTGAATGTACTGTAATGGCTTTATTTTGATTTTAAACAGCTATATTGTGAAGACAGGCTTGTTCCACTATTTTGGATACTTTTTAGGATATAAGGCTTTGCACCAACAATGAGAAAATGTGATCCCTATTTTTACAAGCCACTCAGAATCACAGACGATTTCTGTGAAACGTGTTATTTGCATGTTTGATGTGATAGGCCCATAGTCCACATACAGTGCAAGTAAGTGCATTTCAAGTAATGTTAGGCAGGCCTTTATAGTTCAGCCGTTCCTGAAAAGTAGCAAACAAATCAATTCAGTTTCTTCATCAAACATAAAACCCAATATAACGATTTTAGAGTAAGCTAATGTTACCTCACTGAGTCTTACATCTAAACGGGCTTCTCTTGATAAACTGTAGCATAAACTTACCACTCTGAAAGTTGTATAACCTGTTGTGGTTGATGACTGTGCACTTCTTATACTTCCTCATATTTTGGGATGGACTATCGGGCTCGTATTAATAAGGTTAAGAGGCGGTAGCCGTATTTTAAAGCTTACACGAGTCAACAAATCAATGTTAATGAACATTGAGGGTTTGCAGGGTCGCAGTAGTCATAAAATGCAATTTTCTTCTGTTCTGGAGGTCCTTCAGTAACCTTGATGGGATATTTTTAGATGGCAGTGTGTATGATTTACAAAACTGGAAGGGAACATGATTCTTGTCTTTGTAGGTGGGCAAGCAAGTCAACATTTATAAGAGTGTTTGTACATAATATTTTAATATCAAGAAAGCTGCTTTTACGCTGTCTGTTTTATCTTGGCATGGCCATCTTTGTGGAAAGGTGTGAATTGTTTTCACAGCAGGGGGTCTCATTCCTCCCATTTCACCCCTCATTGCTCGCTAGTAGCCCAGCACAGAGTCACAATATTTCACAGAGAACAAAGTTTTAAACTGATAGAGTTAATATCCTAGAATATCCTCTAGGACACCTGCAGAAAGAAGCTAATCAAACTCTGTTCTCCATAATCATCATTTAAAAAAATGACGGAACAAATACAGTAATTTTTCCATGTTAAAATATTCGTAAAATTCTTGCTATAATAAGTCTATCAAATGCATTCCATAAATGTACTGTGGATATATTTCCCTAGAGGACCTATGTGGTAAGCCTTGCTGGTAATTGATTAGATTTGTATACGTTTGTTTGAGCCCTTTTTTTCCCTCATTTGCTCTGTTACACTAATGCCTCATTTACCCAAAACATCTTTATGCACAGTGCTGAAGTGTATCATCTTGTTATAGGCTTTGGGGATTCAGTATCTCTGGGATTACATACAGATATTCTTCCAGAGCATCTTAATAAAGCTGATATTTGCATAAAACAGTATAATTTAGGAAGCCACAATATGGAAAAGTCATATTGCATTGATATGTTCACAGCTTAATTATGAATTCAGTGAACATGCAAGTTTTTATCTTGGTTGTTTGGTTTGCTCATAGTTAGTTTCTTTGTGCTTTGTACATTACTGTGGGCATATCAACGCCAGTAAAGATAAATGATGTGCTTAACTTGGGTCCTAAAGGCAGTTTAACCCAAAACAATCGTTGATGATACGCGTGACAAGTAAGACTAATGCCTCTAGCAGTTTTGTCATATTTAATTTAATTAATGCATTGTGACAAGTGCATAATCTCAATTGCTTTAGTGTGGAAACAGTAATTCATTGTGACAATGAAAGGGGTGGATTTGACACAGGCTTTCACTTCCCACAGAAACGGGATAAAGGCCAGGTGCTTTTTGACAAAGTCTGTGAGCATCTGAATCTTCTGGAGAAGGACTACTTTGGTATTACATTCCGTGATGTAGAGAATCAAAAGGTAGGAATTTACCTTTGTTTTATGCTTTGAACAAAATAAAATGTACAAAATAACACATTTTTTAAAGAAATACTTTTTTGTGTTGTTCGCAGAACTGGCTGGACCCAGCCAAAGACATGAAGAAGCAGATCAGGGGTGAGTGTTCACAACTTTGAGCAATTTTAATATTTGTTTCTAAAAATATGTTGTTTAAAATACACTGTGTTAATTTCAGTGATGTTTCTTCATTGTAATTACTTTTTAGCCCAGGACTAGATTTATAAGGATCTTTCACAATGTTCAGTTAATCTTTTATGGAATTGCTTAATTTCAGGGGTTCAGAAAAGCGATCTCGATGCCCAGCAAGCATCAAATTAGATAGAGCTAGTTTGCATGTAAAAAGAAACTAATCACAGATCGGTGGTGATGCACTTAATTTTGTTGGTTTGGCAAGCCTAGTCAATCTGAAATTATATGTAATCTTGCCACTCAGCTGGATCTGTTTGCCTTTTAAAAAGCTAGCAGGCTTACTGAGTAATCAATGGATTTATGGACAGACTGTCTGGGGCAATCCATTAAAATACTTATTTGGGATTTGTACAACAACTGAGGACATGAAGCAGACTGAAGCTGTTAGATGCAAATCAGCGGTAGACCAATACATTTGTTACAAACCTGTACTGATAAATGTCAGAAAGAGAGAAAATGAATATTCTTTTAGTCTGTTGTGCAGAAATATCATGGTGCTGTGTGACTGTGTGTACTTACTAGGGGTTCACAGACGGCAGTGTTTTACTCACAGCACCACCCTTCATTAATTTATTTCCCTATCAAAAAAGCCATTAAGTATAAGTTATACATTTTGAGGAGATATTTCTGAGGAGATTAATGCACTTGCATAAGGAAGGGGAAAGTCAAAAGAAAATAAGTAGGAAAAAAAAAAACAGAAGTTTCCAAAACTGATGTTCAAAAAATGATTAAAAGATACAGATAAAACAACCGTGCAAGACCAGGTAGACCACCAAAACTGTTACCATCAGCACTTAAAGCTTTCATCTTTGAGAGAGAGGAGAAAATCAAGCTCCACTCTTGAAAAAATCCACTCTGAAAAAATCCACAGATGTTTCTGTCCATCCTTGTGTGAAAACAACTCAACACTAGGAGTCTGAAAGGATGTTTAGCTGTCAAAAAGTCTTTACTGACAAAAGTAAATAGACAAAAACAAAGGACATTTGCCCTAGAACACTGAAACTGGACATCTGAGATGTAGAGTGAGGATTTTTAGGCTGTGTCTAAATTTGTAATTGGGATTACTTGGATCGCATGAAGCAGAAAGTGAAACTAACTTCTAAGACTAAACTTTGAAGGTGTGGAAAAATATCCCTGCAGATTTCTGTGAAAAACTGAAAGCAAGTGTCCCAAAAATGGAAGCTATAATAAAGACGAAGAGTGGGCATGCTAAATACTGAAAAAAGATATTATATTTAGTTGTTGAGGCTTATTTTCTGTTAAATAAACTTTTCTGACACTGAAAAACAGACTGGAAATTAAATGAATGTAAGGGTGGTCTGTGACTTATGTGCAGTACTGTATGTATTTTTGAGAGTAAAAGAAATGCATGAAGTGCAGCTGCATTTTCCCATATTTTCACATCCTTTATATGTTATTCTGTTTATTGACTCATTTACCTGTCTGATGTTTTTCACTTTGAAAAGCAAAAAAAATTGCATTTGTATTAGCATTAAATCCTGATACAATGGCATAAGAATACTCTTAGCGATCACTGAGCCATGTTGTCTTTGTTATTTCTTGTGCAGGAGTTGCCTGGAATTTCTCCTTCAATGTGAAGTTTTATCCTCCAGACCCCGCTCAGCTCTCTGAGGACATCACAAGGTCAGAGCTGCTCAGCACACTGCTGTAGGCCTTTAGTGCATTTGCTCAATTAAAGCTCACTGTGAAGCTGCAACCTGACGAGCAGACTGAGCCCGAGAGCTGTTAACCCTGTGTCTGTTTTATTGTACTTCAGTGCAGCAACCTATTACGTTAATGCAGTGGAAGCACTTTGATTGGCAAGCTTTAATTAGTTGAGCTGTTCACCTCGTCTGAGTCCTGAGAGAATGATATGATATTTAGCATTATTCTTTCTGCTGCTTTCCTTTGTAATTGCACCTGGACTCACTCAGCCTTATCCACTTTACTGCTATCTGTCTGTCTTTCTGTCTCAGGTATTACCTGTGTCTACAGTTGAGAGATGATGTTGCGTCTGGTCGTCTGCCTGCTCCTTTGCCACACACACAGTGCTTGGTTCATACACAGTCCAGTCAGAGCTGGGAGATTATGATCCAGATGAATATGGCACGGAGTACGTCAGCGAGTTTCGTTTTGCCCCACACCAGACCAAGGAGCTGGAAGAGAAGGTCATGGACCTCCACAAGAACTACAAGTGCGCTTTCACACCTACTATTTGAAACAGTATTTGGTCATACTAATGGCATACTATTATTTTGTGTGTTATTTGTCTTAATTTAGCTTTTAGCACTTTTAGTTCAAGCTTGAGAAAAGTCTCATAGGTACTCTGGAACGAAAGTAAAAGAGGTCAGATACATTGTTTCTGAATAGCACATGCAGTGGGAAAAAAACATGAATTCCAAGCTGATCGTTCTCATTAGGGTTGCATGGCCACAAACCAGATACGTATCTGATCTAGGACTACATATGAGAGGCTGCGTTCATATTACACGCCTCATTGCTTGATTCTGATTTTTTGTTCAGATCCGATCTTTCTAACTTGATGACATTCTTATACGTAAGTGACTCAAATCTATCATTATGTGGTCTCAGCTTTGAAAAATGCTGAGAAAACATCAAATCTATGTCACAATAAGGCAAAAAAATTAAAGGCAGTGCTCAGTTGAGTGTCATGGAAGTTCAATTGTATTTAACTTCGACTGATTTAACTTGTGTTTGACAAAGTGTGCTGCTGGTCTTTTAGAGCACAGCCAATAAAGTAAACCACCATATGTCACATGGCAGGAACTGATTCACTTTGTACAGTCATGGAAGAGAAATTGCTCCCCATCAATTTGCGGTACATCAAATAAAAGCTGTTCAATACAACTTTTAAAATTTACTCCATAAATTTGCTTCAAAACTCTCTGATGAGATTGATGATAAACTTTCATACACCCATGCTGTTGTTCACTGTGTGAACTTTTAAACATGTTCAGTTCTGGCTGGTGCGATGTTATGATGTGATAAGTGATATCACCACTCCAGCCTTGTGGTGAGCAAAACACCAAACACGTATCAGATGTTGGTACCTTAAAGCAGTGAGTCTTTTCGAAGTTTGGAATCTTTGTAACGTTCTCTGTCTTTCCTCAGAGGGATGACGCCAGCTGAGGCTGAAATGCACTTCCTGGAGAATGTGAAAAAGCTGTCAATGTATGGCGTCGACCTCCATCATGCCAAGGTATAGAGCCTGCTCTCATCTCCATAGACTTGTACACCTCACCGTGCTCATTAAGGCACATAGAGCAGGAGTTCTTCAGTAGTTTGCAGCTTGACTTAGCTTTGACTCCTCTTCCATTTGTCTGCACCATTTCAAGTTTTGGCAGGCTGCTGTACCACCACGGCCTCAGGGCCTAGTAGAGCTCTTCTCATGGCAAGAGCAAATCAGGGCTCCCCCTCAAGCTTGACAGACCTGGTTTTAAATATCAAATCTGATAGTGCCACCTCTAAAAAACTACATCTGCAAATATATCCGATTAGAAACAAGGCACAAAAACAGAATATAGAAGCAGTCTTCTCTTTGAGGTGACCCAAATTAACGTTTATGTGCAGTGACACTACATGGCCCCTAAATGATCTCAAAGCTTGATCATTTATTGATGTGAAGCATGTCTGCGTAATCTATGTATGTTCCCTCCCTTCACACTGATCATTTTTTGTGATCCTTCAGCTACAATACCCTAGTCTCCTATAAACAACAGCTTATAAGTGTTTTATGATCACAGTTGTTTATTGTTTTGTGTTTTGTTGGTTGGTTACGTTGTCATTTGTGCTGTAGTTCATTGTTGATAACAATGGGATAGCGTGCCTACAGGCCTTTCAAACAAGGTAATCACCTCTGATTGTGTAGTACAGCAAAGGCACATTGGCAAGTGTCCATGACAGATTCATTTGTGCAGTCCTGCTGCCGCAGCTGAGGTATTTTTTTTTTCAGTACATGGCAAGGCCTCAGAATTACATGGCAGGGCCACAGAGAATAAGAGAGTAATGGGGCTGGTCTGTCAAAGCTCAGAAAAGGTCTGTCAATTATATTAGTAACTGAATAATCTAGCGATTATTTTGATGATTAACTGAGCATTCACAAGTTTTTTAAAAAAGGGACAAACAATAAATGGACTTGACACAGCAGGTACAGCCTTTCAAAGAATTCAAAATACTTTACTAAAAAACATAAACTAGGAAGCCTTAAAGCCACAGGGAACCTGAAACTATATTTTCTTTTCTAATTAGGTTAATTTTGCTCTTGTGGGCACACAGTATACATGTGCAAATTAAGCCCTGTAAATAACTTTGCAGTGCCTACTAAGTGGCCAATACATTTTGCTGAGGTTCTCCTCTTTTGCAGTTCTAATTTTGGCTTTATCAGAACTGCCCTACAGTCTCTCTGCACTTCAGTCTGAAAAACTTACCAAGATAAATCTAAAGGTGAGCAAAAGCTAACCAAGCAGGCATACCTGAGCTGTCAAGCTATCAAGCTAGTAGCTATCTGTCTGCCTGTCGTCCCTCTGTCCGCTCAGCCGGTCACACCAGCATTCTCTGGATCAGCATCTTGCGTTAAAGTGATTTAAGAACCTTACCTTCAAGACTTTGCCTTTAAAGCCTGATAATGTTTTTAATGAGTCTTAGACAGCAGCATGTGTAGTCCGTGCTGACGTAGTTGTGCCTAAGTGGCATGGCAGGCTGAGAGAATAGCGATGTGAATCAATATTATTACCATGCCTAGCCAGTTCTCAGATAGGTCTGATAAAAGTTTTTTAAGCCAGGTTTTATTGTATTTCTGTCTTGTTTTTTTCATTCAAGCTTTGCAGGTGTTTAATGTAACGCTCAATCTTGATGTCCTTCTGAATTTTACACTGTGTTTCCTGAGACTTTAAAGACTATATTACAGCACAAGATGACCAAAAAAACATAAACGGTTGTGTCTAAGTGGTCTGAGACCAACTAATACTGCTAACTAATTGAGGAGGTTCATTTTAATTAATTAATTTTTTAAACCAAGTTATCAAATTTAATCGATTAATCATGACTGTACACCTACATGATTGAAATGGTCTGTAGTTTGTGTAGGTGCTCCCTGTCTTGCATCTGATCTGTCAGTGTTATGGAGGTGACGAGTGAGAGTTAACCGAGGTACTATGATAACAGCCCACAGTGACCAATTTAAAAACCTGTCACTAATTTAATCGTTTCATTATTGTAGCTGACAGATGCGGCTGTTGAGTTGCGGTGGTTGAACACACATGGTGCTGTAGGCAGAAAAAACACTTGAGTAAAATCATGTCTCAGCACTCATACATCAGGCAAAACAGGCTGCTTTAAATAACAATTTGTTTAAAGCAGGCCTCAGAGCAGAGGACAGGCTAAACTAAGTGGCCTCCAATGATGAAATTGTGTGACATTCGTAATTCTGTTCTTTATTACAATATTAATTACAGTTCCATCGGCAAATGAAAGATCACAATAAACAACAACCACAACTTTTTCTGAACTGCACATTTATGTTCTTTTATTTGACAAAAATTAAGCTTCAGGTCACGTGCTATCGCTGTTTGCTCCCACGTGTGCTGGCACTGAAGCGGACACGAGAGCAAACAGTGATAGCTTGTGAGTCGAGGCTTAAAGTTTGCCAAATAAAAGAACACAGTGATAGCATGTAATTTGTCATTGTCAAATATGTAAAGAGAAGGACAACTCAGTTTAACCATTTATCATGGTTATTTCCCACACGGTTATCCCAATAAAAGGATTCCTTTACCGGCACAGGCCTAATAACATCCATATCTTTCTCTAAAATGGACAGCTTTTTGACATCTTTAGGGAACCTATTGTTTTTCCACTGCTATGAGCTTGCTACAATTCAGTTTGGGCAAACAGTATCACTCATTCAGTAGACAGTAGTCATTTAAACATATGTGATTAATATTGGAAAGGTATAGCAGTTTCAGGGTGCAATTTGATCTACCAGGCAGAATGAGGAGAGCATTCTTCTGAAACCATGTTTCATGATATGAGGCTTCAAATAGAATCACTGTAAAAGTGTATTAGTGTATTAGATCATTCTCATAGTGCTTCATAGTCCTTGTATTAATGCATTTAATTTCATTTGCTCACAAAAACGTTTTATTCACTGATTTAAAAAGATGGGAACATTATTTTTTCATCGTTGGCTTTCAAATTTCTGTTGGCACGCAATCGTCCAAATTTTCAAAAATTATATAAAAATCTGTGAGCCTTAGTTATCAGAGTACTATAACCTTAGTTATTTGAGTACTGTTCATATAATGTCAGGAGTTCCTCAGAAGGCATCTGTCATCCCATAAATGGTCATTGGGCGGTCTCCTCTGAAATAAGAGGACCAAGCAATGATCAGCATGGAAACTGTCCCTCAATTTGGTAAGATCAGCCCCTCTTCTTTTTCCCCTTTTCTTACTGAATGGCCTAGTTGGTAGGAAACTTCTTTGCGTGCTTGTCTCCAGCTAAAGGAGAGGTAAGGCTGCATTTGTGCTTTTATGTGTTTATCCTTGTATGTGTGTGTATATGTTCCTCCTGTCTGAATCCCAGTCTCCGTGCATGACCATGGACCGAAGAGTCCCATTGTCTGAGCTTCGGCTGGTTTGGCCACAATACGTGTGCTATTGTGGCCCACTGCCTACTCTCGGTATGCTCGTATGCGGAGGTCACATTCCCCAGAGAAAGACTGCATCATAGTTCTCTGTCACGTTGCTATAGAAATGCATCATTTTGTAGAAGGATTTTAGGGTTTAAGCTTCCATTTCCATCAGCTTTGTGAATCACTCATTAACCCTTAAAGGCTGACGCTAAAAACATGCCTGTCATTTAATCTAATCTTCTCCGTTATTCACCTGATGCCTCAGTGCTGTTGTTGCATTTATTTGATATGTAAAGAACTTGATTTAACAAAGCCTCAAAAACCATCCTTTAAAGTTTTTTGTCAGGAGAAAAGAATAGGCGAAAATATGGTATGCACTGCTGCCAATCACCCTGTAAAGCCAGAAACAGTAATTTAAAAGACTTTAAGTCGCATTTGGTGGACGTTTTTCGGACTACATCATGTCTTTATGTATTAATTCACTTACATCCCCAGAAGACACATCCCTTATCACGTTTTAACTGAGTTTTCTTTGAATACTTTTTAAACTCACTGTCATCATATTAAACCGCTCAGGGAAGGGGTCCGAAGCACAACTGATATTACAGACTGTTTTTCCATATTTAAAAATGCACATTTCCACCAAAGAAGTCTCCAGATCCACAAATCTTGCATAGTGCAGCTTTAAACCAAACAGTAATAAGTACTAATCAATTTGAACTGTGCTTTGAATAAGCCTGCTCGCTCACTCTGAACAAAATCATTAATCATCAATATAGGAAACCTTTTATACAGTGATGCAAACATGATTGCACAGAAAGTGCTGATTATACATTATAATACATTTTACCACACAAAGGGTGCACATGCTGTAATTCCTGCGGCAGCAGAATTAAATGAGTTGAAGGGGCATCGTTAAATTCTTAAAATGGACCGACGGCGAGACGCTTGGTTCAGCAGGGTTGAATGAGAAACATTTTAGAAAAGCCTCAATCATTACCCAGTAAACACCACATTAACATGTAGTCACAGTGTATGAACAACCCACTGTAGTTGTAAGTAGCATCCATTATCTTTCCCTAAAAGCCTTCCTGAAAGATTGTTGTAATGTGTAATTTTAATGTACATATTTATCAGTTTTATTCCTAATGATGGCAGTTAACATATCGCCACTGTCCAAAGAAAAACAGATCTCCAAAATGGCAACTTCACAGGAGAGGGCATTCTTAACATTCTTAACTTTTAATGTAAGTTAATGTAAAGAGACTTTACTCTAAACAGTTTTGGAGCGTGCCTGTTGGTCCATTCATTATGAAATTTTCACACAACGTAAAGGACAACTGGTGTGCTGAAATTATGTTGAAAAAAGAAAATCGAAAAATGGAGATACTTGTTTTTTTTGGACAGCGACAATATGCAAAGCCTGCTCATTTACACTACGAGTGCTGAAAGAATAGCAGCAAGGTTTTGTTCGGCCTCTGTCAACTGTGAAAGCAGGATCCATGTTCAAAAGGCTTTTGTCAGGTTCTGAATGCTTGAAAAAGTGTCTCAAGTATGCACACTGCCATAACCAGCCATATCAAAGGGAAACAGTCACGCTCTTTTGTGAGCGGTCATTGGAAATGGATCTGCCAGCAATTTGTATGCCATGCTAGTAAAGCAGACAATAGAAGAATAAGGATAGGTAGGGGCTGACCAGTGACATTTACACTGCCCAGAAAAGAAGCAGATTAGGCTCCAAATTGCCTGTTGAATATGTAGTGCATTTTTCTCTCTCAGGGGTATAACCTCATGTGCTGCTCAACAATGGTTCCACATTCAGTTTTCTTCACATTTGGACACTCAACCTGAAGTTACTGCAGTAACACATTGTTTTCATTTCTTTGGAAATAAAGTCATTTTGCATTTTGACCAGCCATTCTTAAAGACTTTTCTGACAGGCTTGATATATCACCAGATGTTTTTTGCTACCACCAGTTTTTACTGGGCATTATATAACATCAGACGTGTTCTTTAGGAGCCACTCAGAAAACTTCAGTCAAGCTTTGTCCCGTGATTGTTGTTATATTTTTTGGTTACAAGCTGATGGCCCAGGTCTATTTATCAAATCATTTCCCAGGATTCAGAGGGGGTGGAGATCATGCTGGGTGTGTGTTCCTCCGGCCTCCTCATCTACCGTGACCGCCTGCGCATCAACAGGTTCGCCTGGCCCAAAGTCCTGAAGATCTCCTACAAGAGGAATAACTTCTACATCAAAATCCGACCTGGAGAGGTGAAACCAATTCAGAACTTGAGCGCTCTTACTGTGGGTTTTTTTGGCCAGTTTGGATGAGTTTTAATGCAGAATGCTGCAAATTATGTGTAAAAACGCTGTCTGTTTGCTCTTAATGTCTAGTTTGAGCAGTTTGAAAGCACAATCGGCTTTAAGCTCCCCAACCACAGAGCAGCAAAGAGACTCTGGAAAGTTTGTGTGGAGCACCACACTTTCTTCAGGTGAGAACTACTGAAGTTTTTTTTTTGTACACTGAAAAGATTGACCATAACTTTTAATCTGTTTTTAGCCTTAGTGACCTAGCAGACCTTTTTTAGAGTCAGTTCTGATTAGGGATGTAACAGTATAATGCATCGTATTATATCAAATAGTATTACATCATATCACATTGTGTCACATTGTATTGAATCATGATACAGTGTATTATATTTTGTTGTATTGTTACTAACATAGTATTTTAACATGTTGTGGCTGGTATGTTAGCTTGGGGCAATCATATTAGCTAGTGGCTAGAGTGTTAGATTGCAGTACTAAAAACAGCTTTTGTCTTAAATGATGTACTTTAGCCCCTTACAATTCCAGGCTTATTACATACTATGGCTTATTATTCAGTAACTACAGGGACTTCAGTGCAAACTCATTGAGCTATTCTTAGGTTGTCGAAGTGTGTAATAAAACCTTGGGCCTGCAGGTGGGCGCATGGCCTTGTAGGGGGTTAATGTCAAATGGTCTGATAAGCTGAAAATGGAAATATTAAGGTAAATCACTGAGCCAAAATGTTATGACCACTCACAGATGAAGCGAATAACATTAACAGCGGCACATGCCAAGGTCTGGGATATATTAGATGGTAAGCAAACAGTAGGTTCTCATATTCGATGTGTTGGAAACAGGAAAAATGGGCAGGTGTGAAGACCTGAGTTAGGTCTTGACAAGGACCAAATCACTATGGCCTAATGACTGGGTTGGAGCATCTCTGAAACAGCAAGGCTTGTAGGGTGCTCTCGGTCAGCAGTCGTCAGTACATACCAACAGTGGACCAAGGAGGGACAAACCATGAACCGGCAACAGGGTATAGGGCACCCAAGGCTCATCAATGCACGAGAGCAACGAAGCCCATCCTGTCTGGTCTGAACCAGCATAACGGCTACTGTGGCACACGTCACAGAAATTTTTAATGATAGTTATGGGAGAAATGTGTCACAACACAGTGCATTGCTGTAGCCTCAGACTGGTTTGTGTACCCATATTAACCCCTGTGCATTGTCAAAATTGCCCACAGTCTACAAGCATCAGAACTGGACTGCCTGGTCCAATGAGTCCAGTTTTCTTTTACATCAGGTGGATGGCCAGGTACATGTGCGCTATGTGACGTAAAATAACCTGGGGGATGGCACCAAGATGCACTGTGGGAGGAAAACAAGCTGGTGGAGGGACTGTGATGTTCTGGGCAATGTTGTTTAGTTAATTCTCAAAGTTAGCGACAAGTTAGTTACCTATCAATGATGTAAACCTCCAGGTGGTTCCCACTGATCTATGATTGGTTTATGAGAAGAGATAACCAAATCGTATTATTATCATCAGGTTGGTGTCTCCAGAAACTCCTCCTAAGAAGTTCCTGACCCTTGGCTCCAAGTTCCGCTACAGTGGCAGAACCCAGGTCCAAACGAGACGGGCCAGTTCACAGATAGTTCGCCCAGCTCCTTACTTTGAGCGTTCTACAAGCAAGCGCTACACCATGTCCCGCAGCCTAGATGGAGGTTAGTTCAGATTTTCATTCCTTATCTTTGTAAAATGTGACTGTATGGTTAATTAATGAAGCTAGAATTAAGCTAAAATTAGTATATGTGCCTTACATCAGTATATTAAATATTGTTGCTGTTGAGAGTAAGGCTGAATAATTATCGAAAAATGATTGTAATTTTTTTTTTTTCCACTGGTTGAGATTTTTTCACTGGTTTTTGTATTAGTGCTATGTTGGCACTTGTTTATCAACCTATTTAAGGAACATTTGAGTTGAGTCAACCTGACCACAGCAGTTAACAGAAAATTCTGTGATTCATTAGGGCACTGATTTGTGGAACAACACTGTTTGAAAATGAAGATACTTCATTTTGATGCAAGAAGCGTTCTGCTGGGCCTAAATGGAATACATTATAATTTTAGAATTAGCATATTGCAGAAGCCTAAAAAGCCAAAACTAATTAACGTACAAATATATGTGCGTTTCTAATTGTAAAGATCAAAGGTTAATCAAACAGTTCCAGCGTTAGTCAAGTAAAATGGGCACAGAGCTTATTTGCTATATCAGTAAAAAAAAAAAACATTTATTTCTGTACATGATGAGAATATTGCCTGAATATTCCAGTCAGTATTTGATCCATTTACAGTGACATTATATTGATGAAATAATTGTGAGATGTTGGATTTATCAGTTAAAATCCTTTTTGATTTGAATGAGCTTTATTGATTTGAATGTTCTTTGTGGACATAATTTGGTGCGCTTTTCAGTTGTTTTTCCACTAAATCTTTTTTGGCCTACCAATAGCTAACATGCATTAAGGGTTCGAGCTGTTCTCTCAGACCGATGCCAAAGCGCGTCTGTGCCACTGCTAATGCCAGCATGTCAGTCAGTCTCACTGGAGTTTGTGTCATTGTTATCCGTTGTGTTCACATTGCCTTCATTCATCCAGCACGGCCTAGACTTGCTGTTTTATCAGCTGGTTCCAGACCTCCATTAATGTCCTCAATTCTGCAGCTTGCTTTGTGGTTTTCCCACTGAGAAGCGCTGGTTGTTGTGCTGGGGCGGTTCCTCTGATGAGCCCCGGCTTTATTTCATACCCACTTTTTTCCCCAAAACACCTTAATGAGAGCAAGAGACAGAAAGACTTGCCACAGGGATTTTCAGCTTACTGTTGTATTGTAATCTCAGCTCTAGAAAGCACACTTTCCTTTTTTCTCTCTTTTTTAAGTAATGGACAAATTTGAATTTTATTGCGCCCCCAAGAGCTCGGTGGAAGCCAGCAGCCTTTTCACTGATCTCTGGCGTGGGCTGTCGCTCTTAGGCGTAAAGCCCTGGTTTTGAATGCTAATGCTGTTAATGTAGCTCCTGGATTCAGTGAAGGCGAGCTCTTTTGGCATGGGCAGTAGTTTAATTGCCAGACCAGAGGATTGGCTTGTTTGAGATGCTGATCAAACTATTGATTCATTCTCCATTATCAGTATTTGTACAAAGCCTCATTGACTTGGCAGTATCAGTTGCCTGCTTCCTGCGTGATAAGTTCCTCTGTATAGGTTATGAATATGTCAAACATCTTCTGCCTATGCAATCATGTTATCATTCAGCTTATGCTGATGTTGTGTAATATAAAAAGTCAAATCAGGAACTTACAGTACTGTGCAAAAGTCAGAGACCAATCTTCATTTATTTAATTTCCAGGCAAAATTGCAAAATGGTACAAGTTATTAATTTTTCTGGAAATATTTCTGAAAAAATTAGGCAAAACTAACTTGCATAAGGAAGAGGAAAACCAAGGAAATTTATGTAAAAAAAAAGCTTCCAAAACTGAAGTTAAAAAAGATACAGAGAACATGTGACTTGCAAGACCTGATAGACCACTAAAACCGTCACCATCAGATAAACAGTAGTTATAGCTTTCATTTTGAGAGAGAGGAGAAAATCAAGCTCCACTTTTGCATCAGATCTGAAAAAATCCACAGATATTTTTGTCCATCCTTCCACTGTGAGAAGACCGCTTAACACTCTTAAGTCCGCTAGTGTGGCTGTCAAGAAGCCGCCACTGAGCAAGGAAAACACACAAAAAGGAAAAACAGACCTCAGCATCACTGAATGTGTTTGGGATTACTTGGATCACGAGAAGCAGAAAATGCCTCCAACTTCTAAGACTGAACTTTAAGGGTGTAGAAAAATATCCCTGCAGATTTAAAACTGAAAGCAGATCTCCAATAAAAAATGGAAACTATTATAAAGGCAAAGAGTGGACACACTAAATATAAAGCAAATGCGTAAGTATACAGTACTCTGCAAAAGTCTTTGGCACCTACTTAAATTGTTTAAAACCTTTTATTATGACAGTAAGTGTGGTTTTGCCTTTAAAGCACTGTGTAACTTCAAAATGAATACGAATAAACACAAATACAGAAAAGGTAACAAAATATCTTGTTTACAGAAAAGTAGTTTTATAATCTAATTAGAAGAATGCAAGTTTGTTTCCAGGTTCACCATGGCACCTGCATCCTTTGCATAGATTTGTTAAATTCCATCACCAGCATTTCTGATTTAATGAAGCATTGATTAGCCAAACTAGATATTAGATGGTAACTACAAGTAATAATGAGCTTTCTTGAGGAGATGTTTGGAAATGGTTAAATGAACACAATGACATACATAACATTTTGGGTAAAATATCCTTAGTGTAAATATTTTAGCTTTTGTTTATTTATAATCCTTTATATTGTTCATTTTTGTGAAGGATAGAGTTTATATTTTTTATCTTATTTTTTACTTTTAGTATTATGTATATTGTCTATAAAGTAGCAAGTAACAAACTGTATAAACCTTGTTAAGGAATTAACAAAGTTAATTACTTGCTTGTAAATTCTCTTTTTGTTACTTCTTTTCTTGAGTGCCTTGCTATCCCTTCGCTGCTGTAACACTGAGAATTTCCCTGTTGTGGGACTAATAAAGGATTATGTTATCTTATGGTTACTTATTGTATTAATATTGTATTTATTCGACTATCAGTTTTTTCTGAGCACCTAAATGCAAATAAATGCTTGCTGATAAATAGCTTTTACATTTTCCTTGGTGCCTAAAACTTTTGCACAGTTGCACATACTGTTCTGGCCGATTTGGTTGAAAATTAAATAAATAAAAGGTTAGTCTCTGACTTTTGAACAGTGTTGTAGTTCAAGATTTACCATTTTAAAATGACTTAATTGCTTGCAACATGCAAGAACTACACAGCTACACTTTTACAGCAAGGGTCCTAAATGGTTCTTGGCTTGGATGTGCCATTCATTTGTATAGAACCATTACATTATTCTTAATAATGTAAGGTTTTTAAATATTTTCTTCACATTCACACATCACATTTACAGAAATGGTACTTTAAGTTTCCATTGAGATGTTCTCTAAGGAACCAAAAGTGGTTACTCTATTGCTAATTTTTAATAGTGTATCTGTTTATTTATTTTTTTTTTTCAGCCATCATTCATTCATCTAAATTTTAGAGATACTAACAAACACAGTAAGGATTTTATAAATAAGACAACTCAGATACACTTTATATATGTAAAAGAGATACTTTGTAGAGGCACAAAATCATAGTGTCTTGTCACCTGACAATGCCAGCAAGTCTTGCTATAGTGTTGACTTTCTGTCAATCTCTTCAGCTCAACGAGGCATCCCCCAAATCACTTCGACTGTTGTCCCAGGATCTAAGCCACTCACTGCTATGAATGGCACTAAACCAACAGGTAGATACATTTGTGTGTGTCTACAATCCCCTGATTTTAAAACCTTGTTAGTTTGGAAGGTTGTAGATGCAACAGTCTCCTCGTTATCTCTACGTCTGCTCTGTGCATTCTTCGTTTCTCTTTTGCACTTGGTCAGGTCCTTATATCCCACCTTAGTTTAGCCCTCCTGCAGTGATCATCAGGCCAGCTCTGCATGCTCCTGACTGATTAAGCTGCTGCCCTAGCATGTGTCTGCTCACTGCTAGCTGCAGTTTTCCTTTGCTTAGCTTGTAATTTTTTTCTTCATTTTTTCACTCATGTGGTGCCTGATGTTTCATGTTGATCAAGAGCACTGTGATCCATACACATAGACACACGCACACACACACACATCTTCTAAGCCGCTTATCCTCCTGGATCTTGGGTGGTTGGGGGGGTGGTGCTGGGGCCTATGCCAGCACTCATTGAGTGGAAGGCAGCAAACACCCTGGACAGGTCGCCAGTCCATTGCAGGGCAGACAGACAGACATATACATTCACACACACACTCACGCCTAGGGGCAATTTAGCATCTTCAGTTGGCCTGACTGCATGTCTTTGGATTGTAGGAGGAAATCCACACAGACACAGTAAGAACATGCAAACTCCACACAGAAAGGGCTCTGGTCGCCCAGCTGGGGAATTGAACCCTGGCCCTTCTTGCTGTGAGGCAACAGCCCCACGGTCCAGCTCTGTAGAAATTAGATTGCGGTCACTGGCAGCTGACACTAGCCTACTAGTGAAAGTAGGTCACAATGACTAGCTATTGTGACAGTGTGTTTTTATCTATGTTTGTCTTTTTAGATTTAGGATTATTATGAATGTAAATGAACCTTAACTTGTTCTTCAGTTCAGTAACCAATTCATATTAAAAGGTGTATTTGAAATAGTCTGTCCAGAAGAAAAGAAAGAAAAGGCATTTGAATTGACTAGTCAGCATCATTCTAAGGGCTTCCACTACAGAACTTGTAGGTTATTCAGTACTAGTAACTTTTTTTGACCTGAATTATTATTATTATTCAGTTCTGTTTAAGTTGTTTTTAGAAAGTTGCTTTTACTTTTGCTTCAGTCATTATTTCATAGAGGTAGCAATACTTTTTTACTTAAGTATGAGATTAGACAACTCTACCCACCTCTGACTATATCATACAGTAAATTATAAATATTTCACTAGCGTTTGTGATTCGTAATCTTTATACAAATGTCAGGGCTTTCTCCAGGGTGAATCGAGAACATGCGGCTTATTGGGTCATACTCATATTAGACTGATAGTGTAATATTTTAGTCTGTTATGTGGTTTCCACTCCTTAATTTAGTGGCATATTCAGTTTACCATAGCCAGCCTTGTAATACCACTGCCTAAACTGGAGCAGTCCAAACCAAACAGCTACTTAAAGGACATCTCAGTACAAGGAAAGCAACATCTTGGAACATATCGCTATCATTTAATCCGAGTCTCAGAAACTGGAGAGGTTAAAAGGGAGCAGTGAAATGAGCTTGAGGGAGCAGAAATCTAATTAAATCAAGTTCTGCAGTTATTAACGAACATGGATGTAAAATACTCAGATTAAAAATGAGCGAATTAGAATATCACCAGCCTGGGATATCACTGTCTGATTTTACTTTGGAGTAGTTTTGTTTCTTTTTGGCTCAGTCTGTTTGAACTGTGCTTTATTTAGTCAGGTTTTATAAGGAAGTGAAACATGGTGCTGTAAAGAACTACAAGAAATGTAATTTCCAGCAAGGAAGTAACATTTAAAGTAGACCAGGGCACCAGGAAAAAGAAAAAACAGCTTTTCAGAGTTCCAATCTTAAAAAATGATTTTTGTAGATGAGCAAAGATCATTTGCAGAGGTATGCAAAAGTTTGTACGCCCCTGGTTAAAATACACACTTTGTTGATTTTGTAATTGTATTTATGGAGTTTTTTTTTTTTTTCAGTAAAAACTTGTGTTCTCTTAGAAGATGTTAACTTTTTGTCGCTTCAACAGTTTTTTTCTTTCAAATGAACAAATCATGTTATGTGACCAGGGGTGTTCAAACTTTTGCATACAACTGTATGAAATGCAGCAGTACTGGACAAATGATCATAGTTGATTAACTGCACCTGAATTCTTATTTTTATTCTTAAAATAAAGGTGGTTTAATAACAACTTGTTAAGACCAATGATTTTTTTGGTCAATACATCTTTAAATCTATGGTGCACTACTTGGTGTCAGAACTGTTGGGCCACCATGGTCTCATTTCACATAAATCACATTGCATAAATGATTTCACCACTGCTTTATTATCATTGGTCTAAAACAATCATTGCAAAACACATAAAATGAGAAACTGAAATTTCAAGACCAGAGATAATCTGTGTGTGTTTTTAGACTAGTTTAAAAAAAGCATTCTAAACTGTTATTGTGAGAAGATTGTGGGTTGTAAGGAATATGTTGTCTGTGACTCAGCTCCCTATTTCAACCATTACACAATCATTGTATTATTGTGTGACATTGCGATATTGCTTTTGATTCTAGTCAGAGATCAAGGCTAATATCTGGAAATAAGAGCTGTGGTTTTGGATGTGTGTTTGGTATGGTAAGTTACCCTTGCTTTGATGCTGTTCCCTAAAACCCTGCAGGATTGAAAATGAATGCAGGATGGCTGTGCTAGCGCAGATTGCAATGTAGTGGCATCAGCATCCACGCTTCAAACACACAGTGTATATCGCAGTTTTTATGTAATGAATGAAAAACACACACAGCTCTGAATGACAGTGTGTGTGTGTGTGTGTGTGTGTGTGTGTGTGTGTGTGTGTGTGTGTGTGGGCACATGTGTGTTGCAGAGATGGGCACTGCATTGTACGGGGCTGCAAAAGGCATCGCAATGAGTGACCTCATCACCACAGTCACACCAGAGAAGAAGGCAGAGGAGAAGAAAGCAGAGGAAGCCTTGGTGCTTGTAGAAAACGTTGTTGTGGTGGAAGAAGAGGACGAGACGACGAAGGTTACAGAGGTTTCACAGCCAAGTCCACCAACTCCTGTTCGACAGGACACAAGGGTATGTGGCCTTATATTTTGGTGAAAACTTTGAAGTAATAATAATGAAATTGTACTTACTGGTGTTGATTTTCATAGTAGATGCAGTGCAGTCTGTAATTAAGCGGACAGTGACAAAATCTTCAGGATTGAAATGCAGAATATCAGCTGTAATTTTGAGGGTATTTTCATCAATTTTGGGTGAAGCACAAAGATCATCACCGCTTTTTAACTTTTTTATATATAATCTCAGTGGATGAATAAGTGAATTGACATAACAAAAATATATTTGTCGTATTTACTCTTACTTGTCTGATCCTCTGCCGTTATTGACTCCCTGAAATTTGCAACCTGTAGACCTGAGCTGACAATGGTTATCTTCCCTAGTGATGTTCTTTTAGGCCTGTAATGCAATAATTTTCAGTCTATCAGTTTTGCCTTCAGTCTCATCTTCAGGAGTGAAGTGCTCTGTAGGGTTCAGGTCGGGTGATTTGTTTGGACAGGCAGAATCTTTCACTTTCTTGCTGAGAATTATTGATGCAACAACATAACTTAAATGGCCTCGACTCACCGGCGGTTCCAGAGTTTTACTGCAAACTTCTATAACCTATAACTCAGCCAATTTGCAGTCCATGTTGTTACTGAATAATAAGCTTTAGTGCGTAATAAGCCTGGGATTAGGGGTTAATTTCCAGTTGATCATAATAAGCCCACCTAAATTAACGTAAACATGTTTTTCATATGGACAGCTTTTAGTGATGTGTCTTATAATGAAATGGAAGACTAACCTCTCTTGTAAAATAATCAGTCAAGCTTAAATTTTTATTAAAAAAAGTTCTATTAAAAAATGAAATGAAGAACAGGAAATATAGAAAGTCTGGACTTTATTTAATAAATATAGAGCTGCATGTTAATCACTGTGTTAAATTTTTCATGTTTTTTTAAAGTAATAACTATAATTGTCCAGATGGCTATTCACCATGTTTACTATCCGGTGTCGACCAGAGGACGATGGGTTCCCCTTCTGAGTCCTGGTTCCTCTCAAGGTTTCTTCCTGTTTCCTAGGGAGTTTTTCCTTGCCACTGTCGCCTCTGGCTTGCTCATGGGGGCTTGGACCTGGATTTCTTTCTGTAATGCTGATTTCTTTGTAAAGCTGCTTTGTGACAACACCTGTTGTAAAAAGCCCTATATAAATAAACTTTACTTACTTTCTTACTTACTTACCATGTGAATTCTGACTTTCGAGGCCCTTCATTTGAAATAAGAAGTAACATAGCTAAATATAGAGCAACACTGTTATATTGGTAATTAATACTCTCATTAAACACGTGGAGACGAAGAATGTTTATTGTATGAGATTCACAGTACTCCCAGTTTTAAAAATATTTTACAATAAAACTTGTGCTTTTTAGTTTCAGTGTTGCTGTTTTATCTCCCTGGGAAATGGTATTTCTATGAGGATGCCTTTCTTCACAACATGGCTAGTGTGTCACTGACAAAATATCTACATTCAGCTGTTCATTCAGCTGTGGAGAGCATAAGACTTATTGCTGTTATCATCCTGCTAAAATGACATGTTTTGACGGAATCCCAGCCAAAACACTGCAGGCTCTATCAGTCGGTGCAATGTATGCTGTAGCAATACAGCTGAGCCCAGACGGTCTCTTTCATCTGACCTAGCGAGGCGGAATCGACCCCTTTGTCTGGGCCTGCTTGTCCTCCTCTTTCACACTCTGCTACTCTTTCTCTCACTCCTTTCGTCCCTCCTACAGTCACCACCATATGTGTTCAGTCACTTACTTGTACAGCTTTGTTAGAGTGTGGTGGGGAGACCCAATCATGATCACTGCTCTGGCCCAAGAATTCCTTTGGCTTAGCCCTTTAATGCCAAGGCTAGAAAAAAGCTATTTCTGCTTTTTAATCTACTCTTCTCCTTTAATAGCATTATTTTTTGTGTAGTTTCACTTTATATTTTGATACATAATCTGATAACATTAATAAATCATTTGATACATTATTTTCATGCAGAATTTGGCCAAAAAATGTATAAACCTTTCCTTTCTTTGTGTCACATACTACCATTTTAGCAGTCAAACAAATGCATAGGAACATACACTATATGTCCAAAAGTTTGTAGCCACCTGCTTATCCAATGTTTCTTCTAAAAACAAGGGCACCAATAGGGAGTCCCCTTTTACTGCAGTAACAATCTCTTCTCTTCTGGGAGTAGTTGGAACATTGCTGGGAGGGTTTGATTGTATTCAGCCACAAGAGCATTAGTGAGGTCAGATACTGATGATGTATGATTAATTCTGCATCACGAAATCTACAGTAGCTCATCCCAGAGGAATTGGATGGAGCTCCATCACTCCAGAGAACACAGTTCCACTGCTCCTCAGGCCAATTCTGGGGGTGTTATACCCTTCTAGCTGACGCTTAGCATCAATCATGGTGACCTTAGGCTCATGTGCAGCTGCTCCAGAGCATCTCATTCTATTAACATTGATTTTCCACAAAAATGGAGGTCATACTAGCTGTGTTTGCCAAATTAAACACCTGTGTCAATAAATACTTGAATACTTTTTTACAACAACAATAAAAACATAGTGATTTTACATACGCCAATGTGTGTGTTTAGCCATTTCTAAACTTTTTTCGTGGCAGCCCCATATTATTGGTAATTATCCAGTGACTGGTCTGACTAATCCGCGCTTCATTATGCGAAATCAAGTGTGCTGGTAGTGAAATTGAACAAATCTATGTGATGGCTGGGGGCGTCCAGAAGAAATCTGTATCCGAACTTTGTTCTTAGCTCTCAAGATATCAGCTACTTTTTTCAAAATACGAAATTCTTGTTACTTCTTTGCATGTATGTTTATTTGCATCTGTTCTAAAGAACGTTTTGCACAGTACACTATATGAGTCTTAAAAGCACAGTAACTAAAACACTAAAACAAACATTCTAAATAGAAAATGGTCATGTAAAAAGAAATCTGATGTTATTAGTACATAAACCTATGCAAATATCATGACCTCAGGAAATGTAGGAACTGGGCCCTTTAAGTTAAATGTTCAGTTTATAATATCTTTCATACCAATTCTCCTGAACTGGTTTTAATTTGTCAACATTCAGATCAACATCAGAATTGACACGAGCCATCAGTCACCTTCACTGGGCCAGAATTTTCATTTTGGTCCACTGCTTATTATCAGAAAGGTAACTGTTCTTCAGCTTTAGATGAAGTACAGTCAGTGTTGTCTGCATACTCATTGATATATGAAGCAATATTATTACACAGCATTACATTGTCCTAGAATAATGTTAAAGCAGTGACCATGTAATGGTAGCACAAGCAGATATGACATGCTTTTATGTCATGGAGCAATTCCAAGAACCACCACTAAGCCTGTATGAATCATCTTTTATAGTGCGCCCTTCTAATTTATTAATGAATGTAATGCAATGAGGTCACGCCTTTTACTTTGTAATCCCAGCCACTATGATTTCAGCTTCATAATTACCTCACTTTGCTACATGAACTGCAGAGGTTTGTAATTTTAGCTAATAGATTTTCTTCTTTCTCTGTTCATGCTTTCAAATGGATGTGTGCTTTTTGCACATTAGACTGATTTCACAGACACTGCTATCGATGGTGAATTAACAGCCACTGAGGTTTGTAACATAGATTCATTCAACTTCTGTCCCTCTCTATTTGTGTGCATTTGTGTACATACTAGCTCACTGAAATGTATCCATAAAATATATTTATTCATGCTGGGAGTTTTTCATTCATGACATTTTTTGTTCGAGTAGACAATATTTAACATAGTTGCATTTGTTTGCTTCTTATTCACTGTATTGCTATTAACAAACAACATCAACAGCTTTATACAGTCGTATTTGGGCACCAGTCGAATTACATGTTCTATTGATTTTCTAAGTGACAGTACTATAAGTCATCATCTACAGAGAACAGACTTCTGCACATTTTATCACATTTTACTACTTACTGTTTTTTTGTTGAATGTAACAAAAAGAGGGAAACTGTGCAAAAGTTATGGCACGTTTTTATTTTTACTTGTTGTCAAACTGTTGTTAAACAGAAATTGTGCACACAAATGTGTCTTATGTACATTTGTTCTCTGTAGAGGATGTGTTAACTGATTTTCACTTAGAAAATTGACAAAACAAATAATCTGACCATTGGTGTTCAAACTTGCATACAACAAATGTACATAAAAATCAGTGAAAATCAGAAATTATAATGTATTTTCCTTCCATGCTGTGACATTTTTCAGAGAGAAACTATCTATCTGAGCGCTTTTGTTTAAAGCAAATTTTGGAAGTAAAGCATGCTGTTATTGGTTAGTATAACTTTCCCCGCCCACAGCGCTGAATCAAACGATGGAGACAGAAGACGGGAAAAATTCTTTACATTTTGATGGACAATTCTAAAATATTACAAGCCTTTTAAATTATGTGATTTATGATATGATCATTTTTATATGACCTGGTTGTCTTTAAACAGATGGAACACCATCATCGGTTTGAGAAGGAATACAGGTTTTCCAGACCTCTGCTCAGCTGCTTGACTTGAGTCCAAAACCACCTCTTATTCTGTGTTATCTCTAGATTACTTGTCTGTCTCCAGATTACGTGGTTTTTAAGCTTTTCTTGGCTGTCTCCCAGAGCAAACAGTGAAAGACAGAACATGTGCCAGACACCCACAAGTTTATTTTGGAAAAAAAAAAGATCCAAATGATTCATCTAAATCTGGCTGTTTGCAGAGAGAGGCCCCCTGCTGTGTGTTGAGTGTGATTATCTGGCTGGCGTTTGCTACTGCTTCTTCAGAGATGAAAGTGCTAACGTTTCAGAGCAGCTCCAGACAGCGTGACAGTGACACAATAGAAATAGCACTACGACAAACAAGCTATATGTCTCATTACTTTACAGTCATTATAGTTGGCTCTCCTGCTCTGCAGCTACTTAGTTTTGTATTTTGTTATTTTGTTGTTATCCTAATGTTTTTTATTAATATTAGAATGACGATTTCATTGGACACTTATTCAGCTATCATCCATCACACTTCAATCATATGAGAACATCTCAGTCCATTCTGTCTGTGTGTTTCTTCCCAAATTAACCCTCCTTATTTAAAGAGATGCACAAAGATATTGGAATTATATTGGTACTGGCGCATATTGGCTTAAAAAGAGATTAGACCGATATTTTGAACTGATGTTAGATGATGTATTTATGTACTCCAGAAGTGCAAAATGTTTAGGTAATGCTGGGCCACTGCACTGAAACATCTGCATTTTATTCATGCTGCATTTGTAACCGTATACACGTGTTACCTTTCTTCATAATGTCACAGTCACACTAGACATTTGCAGTTTGCAATGCCTTGCGAAAGGTGCATGAATGAGGTTCGTCCATAAATCCTCTATGTTGGTACAAAAGAAAAGCTAAAAGAAACTTGTCTAAAAGAAACAGTAAAACCACTAAATTAAAAGCCATACAAACTTCAGACTGACTACGTTATCATGCAGTCTCTGTCATGTGTTTATTTTAAGCCAGTGGGGAAGAAGTAGTAAAAGGTTTATGCTTCATCTCTGTTTAAATTATGGTTTTCTCTGTTTTAGAGGTTCAGTGCTATGAAGGGCCGCCCTTCAGAGGTCAACACAGTTTTACGTGACATAGTGGATCAAAACTGATCTTGATGCAAAATCAGAGCCATATTAAGGGGATCCTGGCCACTTTTTTCCCCATTATAATAAAAAAGACACAAGGCACAATGCTAGAGTGCACCCATTTAACGGAAGTCTGACCACCTCCTATTTCTCCTATTGTATAAAAAATGACTGTGAATTGCTAGAGGGCACTCACAAGCGAGTCCTCAATGAAATGGGGTGAATGGATGAAAACAAAAACTTAAAACATATTTTCCAGCCTTTTATATGGGAATTTCAGTGAATTTAAGAAAGTAGAATGTTTTTCAGTTAAAAATCAAGGAAACTTACCAGTGTCTTCTACAACAACAGGTTTTGAACAGCAAGATGCTAGCATTACTGCTGAGCTGGTCAGCTCATTGTTTGAGTCATTGTTTGAGTAAAGCGGATCATGCTCATTGGCATCATGAATGTCCAAAAGGCTCTGTTAGAAAGTCCTATTACTAGAGTTTAGAAGCGCTCAAAAATATGACAACAGTGTTGAAACAGTGTTTTGTGCTGAGAAAATGAGTGCCTTTATCTGTATAAAACTGATTAAGCATTTACAGGAAGAATTCTCTGGTGAAAATTCACGCACAAATTAATGCAGTTTTGCTCATGATAATTTGCTGACAAATGCAAGTTTTACTGGGCCTGTATGCTAATCCAGGTGGATCTAGTCCAAATTTCAACATTTATCAAATGTTCCTGTATAGGCATCAGCAGATACAAACATGATCAGCCCACCGTTCCCATATTGGTGCATCTCATCTTTGCTTCATGATCTGTCTTAAGTTTCACTGATATGACATTGTCACATTTTCTGTCTACAGTCAGACCAGGAGGAAGAGTCTGAAATAAGGACACAGGTGAGAATTCTCTCTGTGTGCTTAACAACTTCATTACACTGTTTCCATCTGAATCTGATATGTAGATTTGTCCACACAAATATTTCTCCATTCGAATGTGGTCAGTTATTGGAATCTCTCTCAGCGAATAAATGGATGTCTCTCTCTCCCACCAGCCCAGTTTTGTTAGGCGAATAAAAGGAGAAAATGTGTTTATCAGGCATAGTAGGCTGATGCTAGAGGTTAGTAAGGAATGGGGCAGCAGTGCATGAAGATTTGGCTTAAAACAAAACACTTAAAATCCAGGGACGTGTGCTGTGGGTTTGCAGCATGTGCTGTGTGTGCTCAGCTCATGAACTCCATTAACCTAGTCAAAGATTAAACCTGTTAAATGTTGTATTATATGCTAAAACCTGTAATGTCTGTATGCTTTGTGAATGTTTGTAGTCCTAACTGCATATTTCCCCATGAGGCCTCCAGCACTAGCACTGTAAGGTGTGGAGGTGATTGCGGTTAATTGTGGTCAGTGCTGTGCCGCCGTAACTAATGCAATAAGCATCACTACAGTGCTGTGGTTCTGTTTGTGGATCTGTTCGAGGAGGCTTACTCTCTTCAGCAAAGAACAGCAGCCATATTAAATAGCAACTGTATATCAGTCTCAGAAAATAGGAGAAAATAGTAACTTAAAAAGGTATGTTTCTGTAGTGGTCAAGGATATTACAGAGTCTAGTGGTAATTTTAATGTTCTTCAGATGCCCAATTAATAAGATATTGACCAAATTCTCTTAATGTTTTCATCTCCTTCTCCTCCTTCTCTTCTTCTTTCTTTTCCTCATCCTCCTCTTCTTTTTCTTTTTCTTACTCTTCTTCTGCTTCTTCTCCTTTTCTTCCATCTCTTCCTTCTCCTTTCTTTATAATAAAAGTAATAATAATAATAATAATAATAATCATTATCATCTTTGTCATCCCTCTGGAAGATTATTATCATTACTTTTATATTTTCTCAGGAGGTGGAGAAAACGCCTGATGAGCTGCTCAAACACCAGACCAACATTAGTGAGCTGAAGAGGACTTTCCTGGAGGGAGGTGTCGATAAGTCAGGCCTGACGGAGTGGGAGAAGCGCCTTTCTTCATCCCCTCTGCGATCCCCCCGGCTGGACGAGGCCCCTATGATTGAACCCTTAGTGCCTGAGGATGTAAGTACAGATATCAATCCAACCACTCAGATAGCATCACAATTACTGTTCGGACAGATTTAGTATCTTCTTATGATTGACTTTGCTGCTGTGGATCACAGAAAAATGAATTCTTTCAGGAACATTTTCAGGATGATGTGTTGAATGTGTCTCATACAGGCGAAATTACACTCAGTGCTCTTAACCTCGAAACATTAGTACTGTGACAGGAGCAGCTGACAGATGCTGGGGAAATGATGGGGACTTGTTTTAAAAAAAAAAAATAGGCTCATCGAAATGGAAGTGAATGGAAAGAGGCGAAGCCTCAGATAAAAGCAGTGAACGATTTGCTATCAGAAGACAGAGCTGCATTGATTTTGCTGCATGGCTGTAAATGAGGTAGGAGCAAATGATTCCCATAAAGACAGAGAGATCAGGTGCAGAGAGAGCCCTAAACAGCCTTGCTTACAGCTACAGCCCTTATTTGAAAAGAAGAAAAATAATAGATGCTGTTGATGCAATAGAGAGATGTCTCTGTATACATGTGAATGGCACCCTTTTGTTGATGTTCCTCTTAAGTTGATATTGTCCGTGTTGAAATGCATCATCTCGGGGGTATTTTGTTCAATTATTTATCTATTTATGTAACTTTGCCTAGGCATTTATGCTCTCACTTGTGACTCATCCAAAAGAGTAGCTGAGGCCAAATTAAATTCAGTTCCAAGATTCTGTCCGCCAGATGAAAAGCTGTAAATGTTCCATATAGACTAGTGTTGCTGCTACCTGAATGGGGAATTGAATAGGGGAATTATACTAGTTACACATGAATAGGGTATTATGCCAAGGTCTGTTCTTGCCAGAGTTAATCAGTATTGAAGGGTCTATTAACTTGATTGCAAATATCTGTCTCAGCAATACTAAAGATATGTAATTTGTTTATCTTTAATGTACGTTAGGTTTGAAAAATATCTAAAACAAATTCAAACAGAGTTGAAAGTTAGAATATCTTCTCTGCCTAAACAAGACTTTGTGAGAGGTTCAGACAGTGCTGTGATTGGCCACATAAATAACCTCACAGCAGCAGGCTTTGTTAAGCTTTTGTTTTCTGGCAGATGTCAGGCTGTGGGTCTGTGTGAGATGTAGGATTAAAGAGGTAAAATTATGTTCCACTAGGAGTGACTACAGTGACCATGGTGGTGCTGCCGATTAACAGTTTCATCAACACGATCCTTTCCAAAGATAATGTGTACTGCAAACTCAGGTTTTTTTAAGGCAGTAAGCAAAATCCAACAGAAGTAAAACACAGCTGCAAGAATCTCTCAATGAAAATGACTAACATTGTTCTTTGTTTGACACTACATAATAAATTCAAGCAGGTGTCTATAGCTAAAAACATGAAAAGATTTAGGAAAGAAGTTGACAGCCTCTTCATTTCTGAAATAACGGAGGAAATTGATATTAGGCATGTCTCTGAGTCATTTGTCACAACACGTGAATGACTTACGGCGGCTAAATGCCCTGAACATTCCCGCAGACCAAAGAGGATTCAAAAGCAGTGGGTGAGAAAGAGGAGGCTGCTGGAGGAACAGAAGCACAGGAGAGCCTGGAGGACAGGAAAGTTGATGTGGTATGTGAATAGCCATTGACCCCTTGAATAGCTTGAGGGAACCCTAGGCTTATTATTTAATTATTATCCTAAAGACTTAGTATTCGGTAAGTAATATAAATTATTTAGTAACTACTGTGAAACTAATATGTAAGGTATATGGTTATGAGAGTGACAAACTGAATCTTGGGCCTACGTTGAGGCACTTTGATCTTAATCAGTTGTTTTAGAATGACGTGGAGACATTGTCAAGCTAGAATGTACTCTATGATGTATGGATTCTCCAAAAAATTTGTTATTAGCTACTGGCAAAAAATTTGTATATATAGATACTAATAAAGGAGTCTTTGCATTTGCTTTGTGTGACTAACATTCATGCATCTCTTCCAGAGCTGCCTAACATGCCTCTTTATATCTCATATGTAGGAGTCTGATGGGTGGGTAATTATAAACAAGGTTCCTCCTAAGGTCCCTGAAAAGAAAAACATAGTCAGCTACAAACTAGTGGGCATTACTAGCACTGTAACTGCCGACGAGGCTCTGGGTGACATATCGCTTAAACCTCCTGAGGAAGCTGTGGAGAAGGCAGTGGCAGTGGGAGAAGAGATTGGCAAGTCCTACGACACCACCTCGGGAAAGATCGTTAGCGTGACCACAGATACTGAGCTCCCATCCCCGTTGCTCACAGCAGAGAAGAAGCTGTCAGACCAGACCACCACTGCGGCTGTGAAGATTATTCCAGTTTCTGCTGAGTATGAGGCTGCAGTCCTCAAAGCTACCGAAGCCATAACAGCACCGGTGATCACCATTAAAGAAGCCAGGACCCCATCTCCCTCAGAGCCTACAGAAGGCGTTGTGAGGACGGTGGTGGCCATCCGTTCCAGTGAGGAAATCGGAGAGACGAAGAGGGCGGAGATCAGGTTGCTTACAGACCCTTCACTGAGGGACGGTGCCCCTCCTACACCAAGATCTCCTCTCAGGTCCCCACTGAGATCTCCACTTAAATCTCCTCTCAGATCTCCAGCGAAGATGCCGATGGATCTCAGCACTGGACCAAGCTCCTATCTAACCAAAACCTCCCCAACAGCCAGAGTGGTAGTATAACGCCCAAACCGATAATTCTAGCACTCTTCCCACCATGCAGTGACCCTTTTCCCAGTACCCCCCAGCTCCTCAGGCCTGGCTTTCAAAAAACAACAAAGGGAATGATTTGCTTAAAAAAAGCCAGTGCTTTGCTGTCTCACTAGATGATTATGAATGCTCTGGGTTTGTCTTTTATTGTATTGGTTTGCTAGGATTTTTTATTTTCCTTTTTTTCAGTTTTAGACACAAATCCCTCACCATGGAATTTGATGTCACTTCTGCTTTTAATGCCAAGCCTGCTGCTTTATGAAACCAGCTTTGACCTGCTTTGACCCACTTCATTTGGGCACACAAATGAGCAGCTTTGTTTTTGTTTTTATTTTACCTCTTTTTTTGGCTTTTAACTAGGCCTCCTGCTGCCAGTCACATAAGTGGAATGTCTTTGGCTTCAGTCACAGTTTGAAGAGATGGCAGAGTTCTTTTCCTTTTGAGTTTTCTCTGAAGTTTATGCTGCTTGATGTGGAATGATGAGGGCTCTATTCATAAGAGGGTACACCGATCCCAGCATGCTGATGTAACTCCACTTTTTTGTGCAGCTTTTGTGATCTGGAATTCATAGTTCATGAAAGGGAAAGCTGCAGTGTCTCAATTAAAGTGTGTTCCTGTGGAGTTGAAAGATGTTAGTTCTCAGTTCTAAAATGTCGGTTCTCCGACAAAAAAAGGTTTCACAGTTAAAATAAAGTGTAGAGCAATTTGCAGCTAAACCACCTAAAACCTAAAAGCCAATTAGCAATAATGAGAATGTATGTTTAAAATAGGGCTGCACTGGTCATGAAATGTTATGTCCAATTTTAGTAGGTGCTTTTTCATACACTAACAGATTACATATAGCTATCAAATAAACAGATATCAAAAACTCACATGTATGTATTGCTATATATATATATATATATATATATATATATATATATATATATATATATATATATATATATTTTGTGCTAGCAGAAATTAGCATCATGCTAACAGGCAAAAAATGCTGCTTACAAAGTGAACGTTTCTTTATGAAATAGTGCTATTTGATTAAAAGTTCTTAAGTATATGACAAAATGGAGTATGTGAACTTACTGAAATGTCCTGTGTTTCATGTTAGTACAGGATGTGTTAGAGCAGTGGTCACCAACCCTGGTCCTGAAGATATACTTTCCTGTGGAGTCCACCCAAAAATCTGCTACGTATGCTCCAGCTAATTAATGTCTTTAGAAGTCTTTGATTGTCTTGATTGGCCTGTTGGAATCAGGTAAAAGGGAGGGGCATCCCATTAGATGCAGGTTGGAACTAAACTCTGAAAGGAAGAAGATCTCCAGGATCAGGGTTGGTGACCACTGTGTTACAGGTTGTGGAGATGCAAAAACATACAATGACTGCTATAGAAGACGGCTATATAGGTGCTTCACATAAATGACTCAATATTATGCAATTTTTCTTTGAAATTGTGCTCTTGAATTCCATATTTAATTTTTTCCCTAGAGGATTTGTACTTATTTTCACTTAGAAATTTAATGCAACATATAATTTGACCAGGGGCACCCAAACTTTTGCATACGTCTGTATGTTGTATGTTAGCTCGATGATGTATGTTAGCTCACTAAGTGAGAACAGGTCCTTGCATTATAAGGAACTAACCTCTCTTATGAATAACCCTGAATGAAGATGCCTTTTGCTACTAAATCAGAGCTTCACTCAGCACCACATTTCAGTCTTCCTTTCCAAAGTTTCCACTCTCTGTGTCATGACAAATTAGTGTCATCTGTCATCTGACTGTGTGTGTGTTCTAACCCTTCACCTCTTTGTGTGTGTTTCTGTGCTCCTGTGTGTGTGCTCAGCCTAAGCCCACGTTCGATGAGATGTCTCCAGAGCTCACTGCTCTGCTGCAGTCTGCTCGTGAACAGATCAGCACGCGCAGCTGGGTTTCGACCTCTCCAACCACCGTGCATACTCAGGCCTTCTTTAAGGTGGACTACACTAGGGAGAGCGCTCGAATGCATATAGTTTGACAAAGTAATCGCAGCAAAACAGTATTTCATAAACTCGTAAAAGGGAAAACAAACCTAGAACTGCTGTTGTTGCTTACTTTGTTATAATAGTTAATGCTACCTTGAGCATAACCATGGCTCAATATATTAATATGTAGCCGGTATGCTCTTACCGATTTTAATGTCCCAGTGTCCTCATTGTTCATTGTACTCTGTTGGCCATCTCTTGTTGTCTCAGTCCATCCATTGCCCTTCCTTTGACCATTACTAAACGACAGATTTATGAGGACAAATAGTTTGGAGTACGGGCAGGGGCTGTAGAGTCTGGTGTATTCAGAGTCAAAGTACTACTAAGTGCATCATCCCACTTTGATGTTCAGAACAATAGTATGCAAACAATTTGACTTCTTTTTGGGTGGACAGAAACAAACCTGAATACAAGGAATTAATGCACATCTTTGTATGGCAGTCATTATGGCAATTATTTTGCTGAAATAAGCAGTAAGCCATGAGAAGCCACATTTTACAGTGATTTAACCAAGCAATGTAATGATTAAAGATTATTCCATGAACAGCGTAATGGTCTTCAATAACTTTAATGCAGAATGCAACAACATTGATGCAGAATTCAGCTGATGTGTGCAAGCTGTAAAAATTGTCATTGTAAATCTACATTACTTGCTACTAGTTGCACAATTTCACAGTAATTTATGGTGCCATATTAACTGTGTTCTGCTGTACACTTACACTAATAAGCTGCAATTAAAATACATTAATTGCATGTATTTTTACATAACAACTGTAAAAGTAATGCCAGTCAGTAGCCAGTATTTTATTTTTTTGAAATACAAATGCACATTGTACAGACATTTTAACTTGACTTAAAATTTGCACGTCTAAAAACTTAGTGTTCCACCATTTAAACAGTCAAAACTAATCAAAAAACAAACAAATCCTGAATCCTGAAACACTTAGTGTTTTTTATTCAATGTTTACGTCTTTTTAACTCTCCGTTGCTGTCATATCCCATAATGCTGTGTGATTCAGCTCGCCATCACTTATTGTTATATATTGTGAAGTTATGACAGTAATTAATAGTACAATCATATGTGTGTGTATTGAGTATTTTACAATGGATTCAAATGTGGCTCAGCCAGATTTTAGAACCAGAACTGTCTGCCTCATAATTTTAATAAATATTTAGCCTCTGATTTTAAATGCTTTGTGTTTCATTTTAGACCTCTAAAGGTCCAGAGAGGACAGCAGATACGCAGAAGCTTCTGGAAAAAGAACAGCCAAAGGACGAGGAGCAGACAGCTGATAAGCAGCAGGATAAATCATCAGAACAGTCACAGGTAGAGCCACCCATTTCTCCAGATGAGCCTTTGGAGCCCGATGTTTCTGAAAGTGCCATGGAGGTCAGCGTTGACCGCCACAATGAGCCCTGCGGCTCCGTGCATGTCTCTGATGAGTCCGAATCAGACACAGATTCGGATGAGGCCACCAGCGACTCCGCCAGTGTAGCCTCTGCTAAATTTGACGAGTCTTTCAGCCCCATGGATGCTGGCCGGCCCCCCTCGCCCAGCGACAGTGAGTCTGGGGGTGAAAGTTTCTCTCTGTCCACCGATGATGACGATGAGGCGGGATCAGCAGACCAGTCGCCCAATATGGCGCCCTGCTCCCCCATCAGGCTCACAGAGCAGAGGGGGGATGCTGAGGGCCACAGCGAGGAGGTAGAACTCCATACGCCCAGCTTAGAGGTGACCCCCTCCTTTTAGCCCCCAAAGACCCGCTCCCAGATCCCAGGTTTTTGCTCCAATCCTCAAAACCAGAGCCTTCAGCCCCCAGATATCTCCTATCCTTTGTAAATTGAGCCGGTAGTATCATTGTGCCATAGTTGTCCCACTGTGAAGCAATGCCAGTGTGTGCATCAGTGAGCAGGGATCTTCAGTCAAGTCTCTGCTGTTTTAAGCTTTAGAAATCGCAGTTATCACCAACAATAACAGCAACAAGAAATTCACTGTTAATTATTTCTCACTTGTAGCTGATTGAAACAAGCAGAGAGATTCTGTTGAAACTTTCACTCAATATCAGTTTTGTTGTCATAATTAAAGAGGAGATGATTTCTAATGATTTGAATTGGATAAAAGTTCTTGTTTTGTATATATCTTTTTTTTTTTTTTTCAAAAAGAAAAATCGTCCTATTTGCCAATTTTGTCATCATTTCACTTTGAAACAAATGTGAAAAAGTCAGTCAATGCTGCCAGTGCAGAATGTCAGTCAAATTTGAATGTAATTCTTCTTGAAACTCTAAGGGTAGCTTCAAAGGGTTACAGAGCTTGTAAATCTTGGGCATAAGCCATGCATCACCTGAGCTGGGCCGCAATATGGGCTTGACAGACATGGAGATGCATGACACCAGCTCTATGTGTGTACGCAAATAAACCAGGCCTGCACACTGATGCATACACAATCATAATTTCCCACAAAATATTTGTTGTTGACAGATTCTCCCTTATCTCCTTTGAATATATTCCTATAACTATGTGAGAAGGCACAGCGAGGCAGAGATCAGCAGGGATTCTTTTTGCAATAACCAGTAATTCAGACTGAAGATAGAAACAGTGCAGCCACCAGCTTAAATCTGAATATGATCTATACTCATATCAGTATAAAGTCTTTTTAAAGCTTTATTTGTTATTTGACTAACATTTTTGATCTAGCTGGCAAACTGTTTTCTATGGTGAATGTATTTGTCCAACTCTTGGAACCATCTTTCTTAGATCAGGAGATTGAATTTGTACAGCACTGTGCAAGTCACAAACCACCCATCATTTATTTAAGTTCCATTCAATATGTAAAGATGTTACATATTGACTTTACTGAGAAAAGGAAAAGGACAAAATGAAGAGACATTGCAAATCAAACAAAGATGTTGCTGGTGCGCTCAGAACAATGGACTGACCCCCCCCAGAGTCCAGACCTCAGCATCACTAAAGATGTTTGGGAATATTTGGATCATGAGAAGTGGAAAATGCAATCAACTTCTAAGACTGAAATTTAGAGGTGTTGAAAAATATCTCCCAGAAAGAATGGAAGCTGTAATGAAGGCAATTTAGTTGTTGAGGCTTCTGGGTGATTTTCTGTTAAATATACACTTTCTTCATGGCAGTTTTGAAAATAAATCAAAATTACATTTGGAAATTGAATAAACGAAAGGTGGTCTCTTGTAGAGTACCGTATTAGTCTGTCTGCATACATTTTAGTCACAGTTTTGTTATCAGTGCTGTGTGACCTCTAATAACAGCTTGTTAGAATAACATGGAGAATAACTTTACTCTAATGACTGCTGGGTGTTTATTCATAATGAGGCAATATGCAAGCACAGTAGTTGCTGTGCAAACAGTATATCTTTCATAAATTACCTGAGTTAGATTACTGAGTGGCCATTACTTTTTATGTATCTGTGCTTACTTGCCTTAAATAACATGTATCATAACTGTGTGTTTGTCTTCATTCTTGTAAATAAGAGCTTTGTGTGTGTGTCTGTCTGTGTGTGTGTGCATATGGAGAAAGACAATGGCGCTTTTTATGGGGCTTTATTGTTCCATGTCTGGAATGTACATGTGATATAATGTGAGGGCTGTGTGTGTGGGGGGGTTGAGAAAGAAGGAGATAAATCCTTCAGAAGCTTCATTTTCTGCTCTCTGCTCCATCTCCAGCTGTCCTCGCTGCTACAGACAGAGGTTGTAACCTTCAGCGGTGCATTGTCGGATACAGAGAGGCTGGTGACACGGGAAATGCCAGTAATCCACACGGAAATGAAGACCATAACATACGAGGCCCTGCAGGTACACACTCCTACAGTGCGGTCATGCAAGCTAAGATAGTGTGGTTCCTCCATATATATGTACAGTCTAAAAATTGTAGAACTGTTTTCATTGTGTTGTTTCATTGTCATGATGAATATTTAGCAAAGATTACTCTTCTGTATCCATCTTTTCTAACTAATTTTCTCCAATACATTCAGAGACTTCTGCAATATCCCATTTTAACTTAAAAACCAGAGTAGGATATGCAGATGTCCAATTGGGTGTAGTAAAATGTATCAGCATCTTCCTCATGTGTGTCTCACAAAACATGGGAGGATTGTGCAAGAAGTAGGTAGAGATATTACACATGAAGCTTTAAAAACCAGGTGTAAATTTGCATTAGGGTCTCAAAAGACATGTTGCGAGACTTTTAAACAGTGGCAGCAGGCATAGCATACAGATAGAGGCACAAGCCTTGAACACGTGCTTAAAGAATGCTTACCATATAATAATATACGTAACACTGTTCAAACTGTCTGAACCAGAAGAAAGCATGTGAGAAGCACAAAATATGCCGTGACGTGGCCGCAATATGCGCACACAGTGTATGTGTCATCGTTTCACAAACTCTATAAAATGTTTTGGTGAAAAAGAACTTTTACTGAACTTTCATTTTTTGCGGTCATTGTCTTGATTTTGTTGACAGCATCATTATTTCACTGCATCTTTTAAACCCTGCGCCTCTCAAGCAGGCAGTTTACTGGCGGGGCTACACACCGTTTGCCTAACCGTGCGTTGAATTCGGGTGCATTAAGGCTGCATATTGTAGTCACGTTAAGGCGCATTTTGTGCTGCTCCTGCAATAGTAAATACATCTGGCCTTCTGTGCTTTCTTTCATTATATAAATAAAGCACGATGCTGCTTTTAACGTTGGATGCACTGTGATAGTTTGTGAATACACATACACACATTCAGATCAATAAGTGCTTATTATTGTTATTTGTGTCATCTCAGTAACGATAAAAGGTGATTGAAGCGTGAAATATTTATTTATTTATTTATTTTGCTCAAAACAGCAGGTCATGACGCAAACAGTATGGCTTTGTCAGATGTTCTTTACTTAATAACTGTGACGACAACACAGAGAAAGCATTTTACTAAAGGAAAAAAAATTGAACGGCTGTAAAGATAGGATACACGCATGCTGAAGTTAATTTATCGGCATGTGGAACTGGAGCTTTCTCAGCTGTATTTACTAAGCCTTTTGCACCAGTTTCATTGGCAAATCGGACGCATTGTGCCCTGCCTGGCTCTGTGTTACAAAACAAAACATTACAAAAAAATTGCAATCTACCACTGAAAAACAACCAGCTCCGCACGTACAAAGACATTTACCTAGCAGGCTTTTATGCCCAAATCAGATGTTTTCTCCTTTATTTGATTAGATTTGTGTGTTTAGACAAGCTGTCACCGTGTTTCTTTACTGAAATGGTTGTGTTAATGTATGAATGTATGAATTAATGGAAATTGAAAAGGTCTGGGTGCATTTTTTTTCTTTTAGTTATGTATCATACAATTGTCAGTTTTTCTAGCACCTATCTGAGAAACTAATTTGTCTGCCTGTCGAACACAGTGTAACACTGCTGTGCTTTTCTTGTTGACAGGGTGACACGGATGGCGACGCAGAGCCAGGGATTCTAATGAGTGCTCAGACCATCACATCTGAGACCACCAGTACAACCACCACTACACATATCACTAAGGTACAGCCTGCAAAACTTGCTTTTGTAGTTTCTTCCTTTACTCAGTTGGGTTCCTTTTTAATGACTTTACTGTACATGGTGAATGCAAGAGAAATTTCCATTGAGGCATGATGAAATATGATGAACTCTTTATTAACCTTCTTTAAACTTTACGGTTCATATTTCCTCTCTTCACTCTCAAAAGAGTAAGACCATACCTTCCGTGGTGATTTCATAGTAGTTTAAGCGATTAGGAAATCAGAATACTTGGTGAATGGTGGCAGATAATGAATGCTATATGCTGACGAGCACTGAAGGGACAGTGCATTACAGTGCTTTAAGCTGGTAAAATACCTTTTTCTTCTGATTTTTAGCAACAATTAGTGACTTAGTTATATCATCAGTTGGATAATTCCCTATTCCGGTGCTTTGGCATGCAATGGTGGTAAAGCACTGTGGACAGTCATGTGATTAGCCTAATCTCTGAACAACAGTATGGTCAGAACATGTAGTGATTCCCGCCCAGTTCAGGAAAGGGGTTATTTGTTTTACATGTAAGTTATTTTCTCCTAGTAAATGAATAAAAAAGGCATTTTCTAGATTTATTAGGCATTCATAAAACTAATCAAACTATGTCAGCAGTTAAACTTCATTTGTCAGTCTTAGGTTAGGTCAGTAGTCAAACTACAACATAATCATATCTACTCCAGTGAAATTGAGACTATGGCCCCATTTACACCTGGTATCAACAAATGTCTTAGGGAAGCAAGATAGCTGCTCAACCAGTTCAGCCACTTTAGGTTTGTACTTTAAAAAGCAAAGTACAAAATGGTAAAAATGGTAATCGCAATTATTTCTATAGCAATTAATTGTCAGCTAAAATTTCATGATTGTGACGGGCCTGGAATTGTGGCACATTTTAGTCTGATAACAAACACAGTGAGGGACTGACTTAGTAAATGAGCGTGGTACACTTCCTCCAGTCACAAAATACGATAATGAGTGGAGACTGGAGACACATTCGAGACACAGAGAAGTTCCAGGTGTAACTCTATGTCTCACTGTTTGCTTACGTTCAGATCACGAGACGGATTTTACCAGGTGTTAACAGGGCTAAGTCAGTATTCTACAACTTAGATTAATGCTACATTACTATAAATGTTATAGATGTTGGGATAATTTGAACTCAGTTCTCGATGTAATATTATGTCTTAGAGCATAAGCATCATTTACCACATATTATTAGCCCAAGTTAATGGTGGTTTGGCCTGACTGGGGCTAGCTTGAAGTTTGTTTGTATCGTTTAAACAACAGTCAACATAAATTCGGCAGCTCAGAGCTTTTAAGCTTTTTTGTTATAGGCATAACTACTATAAAACATTATCATTAACATTAACATAACATTAGCTATAAAATACATTTGCAGGCTTTAGCTTAAGGCTACACTCAACAGAAGCACATGACGTTTAAAAAAAGTCATCCTAGTTGCAGACTACATTTAAGATAGTGTAATCACTGCTGTATGTCTATATCAAAGGCTCTGGCACTGTTGGTTAAAATTAAGAGTTGTGCCATCACTACGTAGGGCAACAAGAACTCTTGCATCCATATGTGTACAATACAAAAATAAAATAAATGGAAAACACGCCTGTTCGAATATTAGCTGTTTATCGGATATTACATCAACTCTTTAACTGAGAGCATTGGTTGAACATTTATAATAGGTTTTTAGGTTAATCATTAACATCCCTACATTTGATGTTTGTGTTTCGGTTTACTCTAAATGTTCTACTGTATTTACTGAGGCTGGTCTTTGCTTTTCTGTCAGACTGTGAAAGGAGGCATCTCAGAAACAAGGATTGAGAAGAGGATTGTTATCTCGGGGGACGCAGACATTGACCACGATGAGGTGAGAATCACACCATCAGTTCGGTAAAATAGCTACTTTAGCTGTTGGACAGGCTAAAAGCAGTTTTTACACTTGACAGAATGTTCGCTCTTGATTTTGATCTGTTGACTACTACTAGGTCTACACCTTTATCATTTCTTTGTATTGTTTGTCAGCTAGTTTGGTGACCACCAGCTCTTAATGAACAGAAACAGATAATACTCTTCACTCTCCAGCATTCACTTTCTCCACACCTCAGTATTAACCACATCCACTTGATCATTTTTTAAATACAAAGTTCTCACCGTTGCCATCCCTACACCTCTTTGTTTTGCCGTTATGGGGTGCCACTGGGGCCAGGCCCTGGCTCAGGCCATTAAAGAAGCCAAAGAGCAGCACCCCGACATGTCAGTGACCAAAGTAGTGGTTCACAAAGAGACTGAAATCACACCAGAAGAGGGCGAGGAGTGATGAAGGTAAGGGAAGAGACAGTCATGGCTCTGTTCGACTTGGCTAACTGCAAATTGATCCACCGCTTCGCTAATTGTCAAAAGCTCCAAGAGCTGCTGTTTGCCGGCATTCTAACCCCTGGGCTGCACTGGCTGTGTATATTTTGTCTTATGCATCTGTACCCCATTCAGACAAGTTCTTCTCAAGACGGTCTGATGTTTGTACTTCATGTATTAAATGAAGTGCTGTAATCTGTGCACTAATCAGTTCTTGATTTTCTTTATTTTGTTTTGCTTTGACAATAAGCAATGAAAGTGTGGTTTTAAAGCCGGTGCTGAAATAAACCCTCACTCTCAGATCCACTGCCTTTTATGAATCAGTGTTGAAAGAGTACAGTACACTCTCCTGGACGTAAGCAGTATTGCAGTTTATTGTCTGAAACAGTTGTAATGGTAATGTTGGGGATGCATTAATCGTGAATTTATATGGCCATTTACGATTTCTTTACAGCCGATTTGCCTGCTGGCTGACTGTGTGTGCTAAATGAACACCTGAAACACACTAGCACATCCTATTAGCTAAAGTTCTAATATAAATTATGCTTACTCTTTACTGGGCCAAACTGGCATTTTAAACTTCCAAATTTAAATAACATGACTTGAATAAATAAAGTGCTGCAGTGAGGCAACTGGCTATTTAGCACAAAGAGTCATGCATTAATATGCTACAACATTTTGGTGTAAGTGTAGCAGCACTATTTAAATGTAGCGTGAGTGCACTTAACCTGCCTTACATTATATACATTATATAACTGCAACACAGTTTAGCCAAAAGAAAACTAATAAATCGTTGATTGCATGTTTGAAGCAAACATTCCGATCATGCATCCCAAGTAACGTTTAGAATTTATTTGAAATAATGGCTCAGAGCATTTATTCATAGAAATGTATTGTTACCATAAATAGGACTAGCTTACAATATTTCTTATTGTCAAAATCTTGTGGTCTAAATGGAAGCATGTTTTGAGAGTCTTTGCCTTTCGAATGACTAATAAACCCAAACTTTCTGCATGCCTTTTAAAATGTCTGGTATTGCTGTATGCATATGGCCTTATGGTGTTTTATTAACCTGTACTGTATAATCGTTATCATTAACACAAAGCACTCAGAGGCACATGACACATGCTGTCATGTGTCATGCTTTGGTATTGGTAAAGTGGTAAAAATGGTGCGGTGATCATTTCCATAGTTCTTTCCCATAAATCTCCTTCATAGTGACTATAGAAAATTGTGATAGTCCTAGAGGTCTGCTCCCAAGGTCTGCTCCCAATATTGGGTTTTGGGATGGGTTCGGGACCTTTTCTCTTGCATTTTCTTGCTTGTGCACTTTCTTTCTCATTTGCTCTCATCATTGTAACGTTATAATCTCCAGCTGCATTTGGAATATCTCTGGAGGTAAACGTGTCCCTGAATGAAATAGGGAATGAAGTTCAACAGTACATCAGTCTCAGTCACTCCATGGATGATGAGAAGGATGTGTTGGGTTGGTGAAAGTTTACAGTGGATCTTTCCTTTTGCTTGTTAGGTTCACCCAAAGAGTGTCTACAGTAGTAGCAGTAGTGAGAGAAGTTTTAGCGCAGTTGATAAGTGGAGGATTGATGCTGGCAGGAATAATTGGCAATTATACAAAAATATACTGGTAATAAAGACTGCAGTGTATTACAGATGTGTAAAATACTAGTTTGTGGTATGGAATGCATGGCGTTTTTCTGTTGATCAGCTCAAGTGCTTCGTAACAAAGCAAAGATCTGTGAAAACGTGTCTGTGATAATCACGTTCAGGTTTTAAATTTAGCTTTACCAGTCGGGCTGGTTGGATCGGGTCTCAAATTAACAGTTTGGGGTCGGCTTTGGGCTTCTCTTACGAAGTATTGGGTTATAGTAATATGTTTTTGTTCATATATTTTTAGGATTAGTGCCTCTTCTCACTTCCCGGAGAAATCTTGCGTGTACACCTTGCAGAATGAAGGACGCTTTGGAGAAGTCGCCCATGGAAACAACACCACAAACAAACCAATGGATACACTTCATCTGAGCACCGCTGGAGTAACCTCTCACACACACACACACACACACTCTACAACACACGCTTACTGAACTACCGGGCAGCCTGGTCCAGCATTGGATCACTGATATTGCATGACAAGGGAACAACTGCTTTTTTTTTGTAAAGAGAACAAAAGATATATATACCTTTTAGGACATACTCTATGACAACGGTGTAAATTTCAGTCTACCCTGCGTGCTCCTCCTAAAGGGAGAAGAATGTATGTGACAAGAATTTTGAAAATAGTACTGGTACAAGTACCTGCATTTTATTTATTAGAATACTGCTCAATGCGAAAAAATAATAATAATACTAGACTATCCGTATGAGCACACAGTATTTAACCATGCAATAGGTGTGCTGCTCACGCCGCCAGTCACCACGTCTTGGTCCTGTCACCCCTCTCCTGCCTCTGATGTGCTCCATGTTGAACGTACTTCATATGATTGAGAATATGAATGATGCACCCATTGCTTTGTAGACCATGCATATTAGAAAGAAACATGTTGTTTTTACTTGAATTATGTGTACATTTTTTATGTTTTACCCTTAAATTTACTGACTGAAAGGCAATGTGGGGACTTTTCACTGTCTGTTTTGTTTGCTTTTTTTTCCAAGAACGAAGACTGGCACTGTGACCACATTTGTCACTATTCAGAGTCTAAGTGACTGCTGCCCAACGTCACATTTTTAAGTCATTTCCCAAATTGTCCATGCCTAGAGTGGCATACCTGAGCCTTAAAATGTATAAACTGGATATAATATCTGAAACATCTCCAGTTATGTGTGTTTGTGCCCTTGTTTTATTATTATTATTATTAGTCATTTGCCTGTGTGTTTTTTAAACCACCATCCTGTCATACGCTGCAGTCCATGTTGAAAGTGTTTACCACATGAGCTCAAATAAAATGGCAAATATATTTGAGAGAGTTTTTTTGACTTTTATTCGCTGTTCTGCAGTCGCACCGAGCATCTGAGCAATGAAGAGAACAGACTGGCATGCCATCCCTCTGGCAAAACATTGTGTAATCGCTGCAAACTTCATAGTGACATTTGTTATGGAATATATTTGCAAACATTACTGTGTATTTCTTGTTTATATTTTTAACTTTACAAAACTTAACATGATGTCAGCACATCACTGTAATAATAATAGTAATTGCTCAGATACGCATTACAAGTACTGTTCAGGGTGACGAGCATGCTGCAAACCATTTGCACAAAAACAGCACTAATTCAAATAAAGTGAGAGAAAGAAGAAACAGCACTGGAGATACTGCTGTAGGAACATCCAGCCTGATGGAGAACTTGGTGTGTGCTCAGACCTGTTGGGCATGATGGTAAATAATATACAGAGTGAGAAAGGAGCATCCTGATCAGACTCAGTGTTAATTCAGCTGCAGTCTATTCAATCATTTAACTGTTTACTGTTTTGAGAGCCTCTCTAAACTGAAATTTGAATTTCCAATCTGTTTGGATTTGATTTAATATGTAATATTACCCAAAAACAAGTGCCTTTGCTTGGTCTTCATGTTGTCATTCTATGACCGATTAGATTAGATAAAATTTCTGTGTGGACGTTTGATTTGGTCCACTATAAAGTCTCCCTAACCTCATCCCCTCACCTCATGAGAGAACTTATTTTTATAGTATATAACTTATTCAATTACTAATCTTCAAATTGTACATTTATGTATTTTAGAGGCAAAATATAATGTGTTAAAAAAAATACATTTTAAAAACCTGATATGGAACCTAACTACCTTCTTTATTTATACATAAGTATATTGTTTTGCTAGCATTCGGCTCATAACAAACACTGCGCTTTTGTCCCCAAGACAAAACGTTTTGGCGCCCCTGATCTACAGGTAGGTCTAACATACTCCAGAAGAAGTGTTTATTTAACTTTGGGAAATGATCTAATGTTTAATATTAGTTTAATTGTAAGCATTTGCTTAGTAATTGACTTGTAATTTTGATTATAATATTTTAATATACTAATATTACATTATATGACATTTAAATTTGCATCAATGAGCTTAAAGTGTCTATAATGCGTCTGAAAGTAGACCTAGTTCAGAATCTATCAAAAATATGCTGTTTAGCTCAGAAATGATCAGATGTTGAATATTTGCCAAAATGCTCAATATTCGGCTTATATGTTAATGCTAAAATATAGTATTATTATAATATGACTAGTATATTATTGTTTAATATTATATCTTGACCGAATGAATTTAAGCGTCTCAAATGCATCCACAGGTAATCTGGGCCTAACGTGCACCAATTAAAAGTGTTAGTTTCTGACTCACTGCGATCCTTTAAAATTGATCAATTTCTCCTCCTCTACACTCTCTCCGTCCCCTCTAACTCCTCTTTTCCCCTCTCTCTCCCTCTCTTTCTATATCTCTTTCTCTCGTGCCCGCGCATCTTTCTCCCGCTGCTCGCTCCTTCAGGGCTCCGCGATCCGCACCTCTGTATTCTCCAATGCTACGGTGCGTAGCCGCGCTCCGTCGTCAGCTCTCACCAGTGATGGCTGCGGCTGCGCTGTTTGCGTAGCGCTCTTGGCTCTGCGCTCATGCTTACGCACGTTTTCGTGCTCTGCGGCTTCGTGCTGGCGCAGCGCGTCCTCCTTCCGTGTGTGTGCTCGTCCTCGACGCTCACAAAAAAAACACACACACATACAAAGTGCATTATTCACTACTGGCGTTGTGACACTCCACCCCAGACTTTTCCAGTGGGTCAAAACGGCACGCAGAGGTGAGGAATGAGATTTTTTCGCCCTTTGCAGCAGCTTGTAAATTTATTGCATAATGTTTGGCCGAGATGCCTCTGCGCGCTCACGGCTCGCTTCAGGAGAGTTCATGGCTGCTGCTCGGGCTTTTTCCGAGCGGGGACGGGGCTGGGCGTGCTCGTCCTCAGTCGGGAACGGCGCCGTCCTCGTCCTGTAGTCCTCCATGTTTTTAAACGTCGAGAGCAGCGGGGGAAACAGGATTGACTCTCTCTTACTCTAAACCACAACTCCGCCATGCATTTAAGGAGCGTTTAACCCACTTTCTGAGATGACTCCGCTTGCCGAATTGTTGTTTTTGTTTCTTTTTTGCGAGATAACTATGAGGATAGCACTAGCTAGCTGGTTAGCCGGACAGCCGGTTTTATTTGGCTAACTCGCTGTGAAAAAACCAAGCTAAGCTGACTGAACGTTTAGCTTTAGCTTGTGCTTTTAGAGCCTAACTGGGTTGCTGCTAACTGGCTAGCTAATACGGCAGGTCAACAAACCAGATTGTGCCCGGGCTAAGCTAACTTTAGCACAATGGGTGTTTGTGGGGAAACAAACACTTTAGTGAGTCGGTCCTTCACTGAGGTTTGAGTAGTCTGAGCTTTAAACCACGATTTTATACCTAGTTATCGTCGCTTTGTTCCAGAATGGCTAAAAACATGAACTAGCTGGCTAGCTAAAGAGCTACAGCTGAAAGGCAGTTGCCTAGCTTGCTTATCTGTCTTAACTCTTTAGCCAGTCAACAGGCCTTCTGCTTGCTAAAAAGTGCGGCTTACAAGTTTGGACAACATTTGCGGGATAAGTTACATTATTGAGCTGCAGAGTTTGTTAGTACTGTAAGAAAAGCTCGTGTAAAGTTTATCCGAAGTCTGCCGCTTATAAGTTATGAGCTTGTTTATACGTTTTAAGGCTGTAAAGAAGGTGCTTCTGTGTTTGTGACCTATTACTGAGATGATTGTAATGTTTCTCAGCACTCAAAACAGAAAAAAAGCTAACATCCATCTCTCTCTTTCTCTCTTTCCCTTCAGACGGAGGCCGTCCCAGCATGTCAGAGACTGTGAAATATGTGGATGATGATCACAAAACCATCTTCTTGAAGATTTTGAATGAGCAGAGGCTAGAGGGTGAACACTGCGACATTGCAGTAGTAGTTGAAGATGTCAAGTTCAGGGCTCATCGGTGCGTGTTAGCAGCTTGCAGCAACTACTTCAAAAAGCTTTTTAAGAAACACGAGGTGGACAGCTCCTCTGTGATAGAGATTGACTTCATCCGGTCAGACATCTTCGAAGAGGTACTGAACTATATGTACACTGCAAAAATTTCGGTTAAGAAAAAAGATGTTAATTTAATGATGTCATCTGGACAGATCCTTGGAATCCGGTTTTTGGATAAGCTGTGTTCTCAGAAACGGGATATGTCTTCCGAAGAGAAAAACGAACTTAGGAATTCCAAATTCCCTTATGACATTGTTAAAAACGGGCTTCAGAATGAAGACGCTCAGTTAAACCAAGACAGTGATGTGCAGGTGCTTGGGGACCAAGACGACCCGCCTTCTGACGACATTGTTGAGGAAGCTCAAGGCAATCACGATCTGGACAAATCACCCAGCAGCGCCCTTCGAGTAGAGGAGGCGATTCTAAAGGAGCTAGCACAGGAGGAGGTAAACAAGGTTGGCTGCTATGATCAAGACGTGGAAGCGATGGACACTGAGCCCAAGGAGCTTGCCGCTCACACCCAGACCCTGTCTTTTGCTGACAGCATGGGGGAGGTTAAGGACGAGCAAGCCCCTGGATGGACCACAGCTGCTGCAGAAATGAAGCTGGAATATCTGCTGTACGGCCACCGGGATCAGTTTGCTTGTCAGATTTGTGGCAAGAGCTTTCTTGACGAGAGCCGGCTGAGGAAACATGAAAAGCTACATTCTGCTGAGAGGCCGTTTATATGTGAGATATGCCCCAAAGCATTTACCACCCAGGCCCACTTGAAAGAGCATCTGAAAATTCACACTGGCTTCAAGCCCTACCGATGTGATGACTGCGGCAAGTCTTTCATTCGAGCCCCAGATCTAAAGAAACACGAGAGAGTGCACAGCAACGAGCGACCCTTCGGTTGCCAGATGTGCGAAAAGGCCTTTAAACACAAGTCTCATCTGAAGGACCATGAACGCAGACACCGAGGCGAAAAGCCCTTTGTATGTGGTGCCTGTCCCAAGGCCTTTGCCAAAGCCTCTGATCTAAAGAGACACGAGAACAACATGCATAGTGAGCGAAAGCAGCTGTGTGCCAACAGCTTACAAAGTGAGACTGAACAGCTGCAAGCGGCAGCTATGGCTGCAGAGGCTGAGCAACAACTGGAATCGATAGCATGCTCGTAACGGACTGTTTTGTGTGATGTACTCACACCAATGCACTGTAAAACAATCTTTTCTTACTCCTTTTGTTTTGTTAAGCAGGCGTAGTCTTACTGTTTTGGTTCGTCTTGTTATAAGTTCCTTTTTTGAACTGTTGGAATTTCAGATCTCGGTAGTATGTGTAGATTTTCATAAATTTAGACACACGACTTGATTTACACTGTTGAATGTTTTTGTTTTCTCTACAATGAAAATGGTGCAAGATTTTTTTTTCTCACTGTACAGTTCGTACCAAATGTATTTGAATATTTGTGGCAGTCTGATGGACAAATGGACACTGATTTGCACTGCCTTACTCTTCTTGACATAGTAATGATGCATTTCAGCAGCACCAGTTTTGCTAAAAAGACTGTAGAGGAGGGAGAAACTGAACAAATGCATCTTTGATGGTTAGTCATTCCATCAAATATGTTGCAAGAGAAAAAGAAGATTTAGCATATAATATTTTTGCTGTAATAAAATGCATTTCCCATGGGGAGTACTTCTGTGGATCATTTGTCTTTTTGTGTTTTGTAGTTTATAAAGCGCACTGGCTATAGTTTTCTTTTTTAAGGTTTTACAGACCAGTTTATTGGGTCTCTTGCTGTATGCAAAACTGTGAATCTTAGGTTACAAATGGCGTTTTTAAACAGTGAAGACAAATTCTCTATTGTGGGTTTCCTAAAAACTGTTTTTCTGCTTTGTGGATTTATTTGTCTTTGCTCAGCGGTCATTCCGCATTGACATTAAAGGAGCGTCAGAGCATGAAGTTGCATCAGAAACAAAATTATGAACTGCATGTGAGCTGGGCTGGATTTCCCAAAAGTGTCTTAGCACAAGGATGATTCTTAATTGACAGAGTGAGCATCACTCTGAAATACTCTCTCTACTGGTTGCGATGATCTGAATACCAAGATGCTTTTGGAAACTGGGCTCTGATCTGTACTGGGCTCTGATCTGTACTGGGCTCTGATCTCTTATTAACTTTTAATATTTTTTTGTAGGTAAAAAGGATTCTTATGGAGTTCATTTTGCAGCAAAAGTTTATATAAAATCCATAAGCACAGTATTAAGAAACAAAACTCTAAAATGGTTTGAATTACAACACATCAGAAGAACGTTTGTTACTCATTTTCACAAGCATTTTGCCATTTTTTGCTTTCTTTTCTATTTGTGGATTTTGCACTGTGTTCTTTTACTTCTGGGATCTCTCCTTTGATTCAGCAGTCTTCATTTTTTTTATTCTGAGTTTTGACACTTTAGGTCTGGGGTGGGTCTTTGAAGAAGGCGCAAACTTACAGCGTCTCTTGGCCCACTGTTTTAGAGTGGCAGGTCCTCTGACTCGTGGCCACGCCCATTTCACAAACCGTGGAAACTAGTCCAAGATGACTGGACTCATCACTGGCGTGTCGGATTTTAAGGCAACGTTTCCCATATTAATGTAAAACACCAATAGAAAATAAATAAAGAAAAGCAGAGCAATATGGTAGCCAAAACGACCAGTAAAGGGACTAAATATCTTTTGAAAAATTAACTTTGACGAATTCTCAGTTGTATTTACAGGTTTTTTTTATTGTAATGCTTTATATTTTGATTGAATTTTATTTTATTAAAACCTTTTGGTACAAAATCAACTCAGATTCTTAACCCATTCACACTGCATTTTGTTAGAAATTCGCACTAAGAGGCGTATTTAGAATCAAAACACTGGCTGTTCCCTCCTTCCTCTCGGCTGATAGGCTGATAAAAGTCAGTGCGCCGTTTTTAATGAGTTTTGAAAGCTTGATGGTGTTGTGTCTACTGCGCATGCGCTGTTGGTTGGCTTGAGGACTTGAACTCTTTCAGGTGTGAGAAGACAGGAGGTGAGAAACCTTCACTGAAACGTCTTCAGTCGCTACTAAGTGTTTGACTTCTGTACATTTTCTTCTCGGTCATCTGGACTAGACTAAGTCTGAGGAGAAACATCGTCTTCAAAAGGTCGTCTTTAGCTATGAAGGAGGTCTCCTCTCAGGCTCGGTGAGGTGAAGTGTAAATATCTCGCTTTTTGTTCGTTTGTCGTCCACACCACACCGCACAGCACCGTTCTCGCTTTTGTTCATTGTAAAATTGTCTGCCGACTAAACAGCTTCTCGGTTGTGACGTGCAGAATTAAACAGGGAGTCCAGCCTGCAGTGGAGCTGAGCTGAGCTCAACAGGCTCCAGTCAGCCAAAGTGCACAATTTAAAGCCTAAAGCTAGCAGAGTGTTTCTTTTCAGTTCTGCCTGTCTAATTTTTTTTTAAATCAAACAGATTACAGGGACTAAGAACCATTAAAAACTGACAGTATATTGAACAAGTAATGTAATATGAAATTACAAACATTTCTGAAAGTTAAGAAATAGATAGTAGCTCATTAACTAAATTAAGTAATTAAACGAAGAAACAGAAAAAATGCACATCGCACAAAATTACCGAAAAGCTTGCACACTGATTTACTTGTTTAACAGGTTGAACATAAATCTTCTTCATGCCTGCTTACTTAAGTCATGCTTGCCAACTTAAGTCTTCAGTCTGTCTGAAGGGTAAAGTAGGTCTGTGCTGTGTTTTCTGTCTTCTTTGACAGGTGGAGATTATATATCTAGTCGTCTTCCGTTGGGTTTTCTCAGTGAAAAGTGAGGGATGAAAGTGAAGAAGGAGGAAAGAGACGAAAAGGGCAAGAGAAAATCAGCCCACCACCATGAGAAACATGACCACAGGCAGGAGGAAAATTTCCAACTGGTTATTTTCCACACTGTTTGCAATGTATGACAGGGTGGTCTGAACATCCAATGATGCATATTTTGATGGATTCATTTTAATATGCCAGACATAGGAAGAAGTTGAGGTCGGCATCTGAGGAGACTGTTAAAGAGAAACATTCAAAACTGAATGGAAAGCACCACAGATCATCTACAAATGTAAGATGTACATATATTTGTGCACATAAATGATCTCCTAAAAAATTGCACATTTTAACCATGGTGGCAATGAAATGGTAATACTAGGTTTATATGAGGTGTACATGAAGATTGTATTTGTGAATTTCTATTTCGAAGCACTCCGGCTCAGGATCCCTAGGGAAAGTTCTGCAGGAGTCCAAAATTACAAGGTGTGTTGTGTTTTTTAAGATTTGTTTTGTCCTGATAATATTTACTGTATTGTAGCCGTCATATCTTGATGCTCATGTTCCATTATAGCTCTGAAAAAGCAAAGTCTGATTCTGGCAACAGTGGATCTGATGCTGATAGCATGGATGTGGTATGAAGTCTATTTCTGATATGTTGGCAGAGTTACTGTTCTTTCATTGCTGACAATGAACCGTATTCACAAACCTTCTCAGAGTAGAAGAGCTGCTAGAATCTAGAATCTGTTCTGGTCAGTAAATCATAGGAAGTAAGAGAGAAATCTGACCCTAGATCAGCGCTCCCTTCCTAAGAAGCTTAGTGAATATGGGCTAATATGAGAATATATTTTAGCAATTTGTCTTTGATGGTTTAAAGTATTTTGTGTGAAATGTGTTTGATGTCATATGCCTATGTTTTAGGACACCAAAGAAGGCTTTGAAGAGAGGCAAGTTATTCATTTGCTGTTTGTTTAGATGCTGCCTAATAGAGTACTTCAGTATATAATCGTATAACATGATTTGGTTTTCTTACAGTTTGATGTCACTGGATGGAAACAACAACTTGGCAACAATGACTCTACGGCACGAGGAATCAGGAAATGAAGAATATACACTGTTAGAAGCACTGTAACATTTACATGAAAGTTTTAGTTAAATATTTGTGCTTATAAAGAGAATGTTATTGATTTGTTGTTGTTGTTGTTGTTGTTGTTTAGAGTTAAAAAAGAGACACCAGAGGAAACCAGCAAACACAAGGTGCTCTGCTGTTCTTTGTTCTTGAATTTCTCATTTGGCTTATCTTTGACTAATTTAATAGAACAGTTGTTCATTCTTTTGTATAATTTTTTTAGAAGAAAAGTAAACACAACAACGGTGGTCACAGTCATAAGAAGAAAGAAAAAAATAGAGATAAAGAAGATGATCTACAAATGAGCAGGTAAATAAATGTGCATTTTAATTTTTTTTAAATATCTACAGTTATTTGCATGTCTCTCATGGTTGTGATAGATGGTGTTTTTTTGAACACTTGTGTTTTCCGGTGTTGATCTAAAATCCTCATTTCAGTACTGTCAGTTGGTTAAGATGAACACTGGAAATTTATGTTATGTTAGGTGATCAGTTCTAGATTACAAACTCCAGCTCATCCCAAAGGTGGTGGATGGAGCTCTCTTACTTCAAAGAACACTGCTGTTCCTCTGCTGTACAGTTCCTCTGCTGTACAGGCCAATGCAGAGAGGCTTTATACCCCTCTAGTTGACGCTTGGCATTGGGCATGGTTCTTGTGCTGTTGCTTCAGAATGCCCTGTTCTATTAGCAGTGCTTTTCTATGGAGATTATACAAGCTGTGTTTGTGCAGTTCAACACTGTCAGCAGTAAGTGTACCTTAAAGTAACAGAGTTCATTCATTTGAAGCAATGTCTGTGTACCTTTGGACAGATAGAGTGTGAAGTATGATAAGTATCATGGTAACTTTACAACAGAAGGCACAAACGTTCTTTACCTTTAACATAAGCCAATGGAATGAGTTTTTTTTCTATGTAATTTTGGTCCATTTGTATTGTTGGTCTGTTCATCATGAAATTTTGGCACAATGTAAAGTAGCTGTGCCCTGTGATGGCGACTTCTCCAGGGTGTATCCTGCCCTCCGCCCAATGACAGCTGGGATAGGCTTCAGCCAGTGTGTGTGTGTGTGTGTGTGTGTGTGTGTGTGTGTATGTGTGTGTGTTTTGGCAGTGACAATAAGTACAAGGATTACGGTACAGAACTCCCACATCATCAGGCTCATCAGTGTTCATCAACACTGCTCCTTGAGATCTACCTTCTGTTCACTTTAGCTCCAACCTTAATCAACCCCATCCGATCCATCTAGTCATTGTCTTCAGAAGTCCTTGATTATGTGAATGAGGTGTGCTAGATTTGGGTTGAAGATGAAACCTGCTGAAAGGTAGATCTCCAGGAAGAAGGTTGGTGACCACTGCTGTAGACAAATGTCCAAATCACTTGCAACCTACTATGAGACATTTACCCAGCCTAACTCGGAGAGAAAGATGCTGAAAAGTGTACTGAGAAGAGTAGAGTTGCTATTTGTATTTTGTTTACTTTTTTTAATTGCTACTGAATGTGTGAGTCTGTTCTTCTGTGTTAGTCCACAGGTTGGAATTAGGGTGAGTGTATCCATGTACAGATAAATAAAAATAAAGCTTTTCAGGTTGTGTGCTCAGTTACTCTAGTTATTTCAGTAAAGATTTGTCGTTCATAATTGTGTAAAATTGAAAGCCCAGTGTGTATGACTAAAACTTGTCCTTTTTTCTCTACAGAGAAGAAAATGACCAGAACAGTAAAACCAGTAAAGGTTCAGCTGGTGACAAGAGGCATAAAACCAGAGTAAGCCTTTTAAAATTCGTATATTTCATGGAAGGATGTTGAAACAGTGGTGGTTATTGATTCTTTTGGATTATGAATAGGCAAAAGTGAAAAGGTCTGAAAATGGCCCCACGTCTAAGACAACAATCAAAGAGGAAGAGGATGAGCTGCCAAACTTTGATCTGATCTCCGGCTGTGGACAAGTCAAGACTAATACTGAAGTGACAAAAGAAAAACACAGTCCTGGAAAGGCTGCAGAGAAAGAGCCTACGGTCAGTACCACAAAAGAGAAAAAACGAGGTCAGGAGAAGAAAAGGAAATCTCACAGCACAGAACATGATGAAGCAAAGAAAAATAAAAAAGTCAAAAAAGAAGAGCATGAGCACGAGGACAGGAAAGACGAGAAAGAAAAAAAAGAGGCAAAGAAAGCAGAAGAAGAGGCTGATAAATGGAAGTGGTAAGCATTTGGATGTTTCGTGGCTTTTGCTTATGGAGAAGATCTCTAAGCATATTCAGGAAGATGGAGGTCAGAAAGGTCAGTAACAGCTGTGGGGTTTCTACTATGGCAGTAGATTTGAGAAAATCTTTTATTCTAGGTGTTTTTTTAGTTCTAAATTATTGAGTCTTCGAGCAAAGGTCATTCAGAGTAGTTTAATGTGAAATGGTTGGTTGCAAAGAAACTTGGTGACAGTTTCTTTACAGTAGTGGTGACAGGAACCAGGAGTTAATATGTCCACAACACAAATATAGTCGTTTTATTTGCTATCCAAAACCACCGGTGAACCTGCTCGTGTCGTGGGTTTTTATATGCAGTGTTGATGACGGTAAAGTAGTGGTTAAACCCAAATAAATCATTTAGTGTTATTACTTTCTGAGAGGGAGCTTAGCGCTTCGGCCGTCTGGTTCCTATCACCAGCACGGTGAACAGTTCTGACTTGGTACGTTTCTCTAGAATGGAGCTTTTCACATCAAACCACTCCGGATGAGTTTGTTCCTTTTATATGTTTGTCTTAACAATTTAATTTCGAAAAATTGATAGGATTCCCCTTTGTTTGGGTCTCTCTGTCTTGCATTAAACTTTCGTCCTGTTGTGCGGAACTTAACACCTCGGTCAGTTGCCGGGGGACTGTCTCGGCGGTAGCACAGTGCGGCTGTGTGTGTTGTGTCAGGTGGGAGCTGAGGGCTCCATGTGGAGAAGCTCTTCACTGAACAGCTCGCTGCGCGTGTGGAATGAAAAGATGTTACGATGTTTTTACCCGCTTCATTCGTTATTCAGACAGCTGTAAGACAAGAGCGTGTGTGTTTCACTCGCTCAGACGGTACAATCTGGCAGCTGAAGCGCTGCTCAGCCCGAGGTCAGTCAGTGTCCAGCCTCCTCTCTGCTGTTGTCGCTAGTAGAGGATCAGTCAGTTTGTGGTTCTCTGGTCAGACTCCTTCATTTTGCTCATTAACAGTTACTGTTGTGATTATTCGGCGGTCCTGTTCTCAGTCTCAGCTGTGTGGAACTCCTACACTGTAACATCCTGAGACCCAGAGAAATTAAAGTTTGATCATTTCAGTAATTAAGATAAAATAAGTCTATTGGCTGAAAAAATTGTCACATTGACTTTTTTTTCAAAAACACTTTTTTATGTAATGTCCTTTATAGTGGACAGCAGGACGTTGCATAGTAAATATGTTGATGTCATATTTCTTGTTTCCTATACTCCATCAGACCAAAACCCTGCTGCAACATCAGCAACAACTTCAAAAACCTTGTCATCAATTTTCAAGGTCCTTATGATCAACATACTGCTCAAAGTAATTCCAGGGCACCCAGTCAGTACGGCTTTGGGTGGTGTCATTTAACAGCAAACTGCTCCATGCAGGGATGAATTGTGGGTATAAATGGAGAAGGAGGAGAATTCATTTATTTTTAATGTTTTCATTTTTAAGTGTACAACTGTGTAATAAGAGATTTTCTGAAAAAGTAGGAAATTAAATAAAGCTCAGATCCCTGGCTTAAATGCCTGCATACACTTATTTTAGTTGTCCATTTAGCAGTAAGAGTAAAAGTTAAAATACTGGCGGTACAAAAAAAAATGGACCAAAAAAAAAAATAGATAAAGTAATATCACAGTAATGTATTTACTTGCTAAGCTTACATGTTGTTGCTTCCAATCCCTAACTGGATCAGGAGGGGTGTGATCATCCTTTAATTTTCTCTGTCTCAGTCAATTTCCTGTCACCTGTGATACCATGAATTTCATGTAACAACAGATTTACTAAGTTCCAGTGTCCACCACAGAGGACATCAAAAAGGTATACTGTTAGGTGGTTAAACTTTTATGAATATCAATAAATAATTGCTCTGAAAATTAGCTAAATCAACTATAAGATTTAGAAACATCAAAAAAATGAATAATTGTCAACTGTGTACTTCTCTTGTACCCATAAAACATGGTTTAGTGAAAGAGGGATTCCACACAGTTTTTCAAAATTTCTGTCCCCCCCCCCACAAAAGGAGTTTCATAATTATTCCTAATTGTTGTGCAGGTGGGAGGAAGGGAAGCATGCAGAAAATGGTCAGAAGTGGAGAAGTCTTGAGCATAAAGGGCCACTTTTTCCACCAGAGTATGAACCTTTGCCAAGCAGTGTGTCATTTTTATACAATGGTGAGTGTGTAAATTATTGCATAAAGCAGCTTTTTTTATTCTTTAGATCTGTCAGTGCTGATTTATTTTTTTTGTTGCAGGAACGCCGGTAAAACTAAGCCCGGCAACTGAGGAAGTAACAACTTTCTATGCCAAGATGCTGGACCATGAGTTCACCACCAAGGAGGTTTTTCAGAATAACTTCTTCACTGATTGGAAGGAGGTAAGGTCTTATTAGTGCCAGAAAAGTTTTCACTGCTCTGCTCTCATCTCCTCTTCCTGTTGATACAGTATAGAATGTTCACTTGTTTTAGGTAATGACAAAAAATGAGAGGCAGTTGATAAGTGATCTCTCGCAGTGTGATTTCAGCAACATCCACAAATACTTTGTGGAAAAAGCAGAGGAAAAAAGGAACATGACTAAAGAAGAAAAACAGGTGTGTGCTCATGTCATCACAGAATGGAGAGAGAACTTCACTACAGCATTGTTATACAAGTTTGTGTATGCTTTATGACGACTTACTAATCTGGTTCCAGGTTTTAAAGGAGGAAGCCAATAAACTTACTGAGGAATATGGCTACTGTCTGTTGGATGGGCATAGGGAGAAAATCGGCAACTTCCGTGTGGAGCCTCCAGGCCTGTTTAGAGGGCGAGGGGAGCACCCTAAAATGGGCAAACTGAAAAAACGTGTCCAGCCAGAGGATGTGATCATTAACTGCAGCAAGTAAGTAAAAGCTCAACAAAGATGGACGTGGTTAAGAAGACAAAATTATCTAGAATGGCCTGCTCTAGCTACCTTTTTAATATGCAGTGGCCAGATAGAGTGTATAAGACCACAAAACACGAGTAGGACCATGGTTCAACTCCCCATCCAGATAGAAACACCACTGCTATGCCAGTATAGCAGAGCAAGACGTCTGACATTACATTCAATTCAAAGATGTCTGTCTATGCAGCAGCAAACAACAAGGATGTGATGCAGCAGTTGAGGCTGCCTATTAGTGAGTTTCACAGCCATTCAAATGACATTTATCATAAGCTGTGCATTATAGGTGAATTCCAGAGATTTTTCTAAATTTCAGCATAATTAAATTGTGATTATACTAAGTCATTGTTTAGAATGGTTATGAATATGATGCTTGATGTCTGAGATGTTGGTGTATTAATGGTACTGATGAAGACCATTTGTGTCCTGTTTGTTGTAAACATATGATTGAAAGCTAACAACTGTGTAAAGTAATTGCGATCAGCTCAAATAATTGTGATCAGGCAATTGTGTGACAGTTATGACCAGTCTGTTTTTACCTACAAATCTCTTCCCTGGCTTTGGAGAAGAGCACCTGACAAGTGGTCCCTGGGTAATTTGAGTATTTTAGTTTGAGACCACTGTCCAAGAGGAAAGGAAGCATTGCCACTAAGTACTTTGTTGTTGTTATTTTGTCAACACGATCAATCTTCATTAGAGATGTAAAGATTCCAGAGCCTCCTGCAGGCCGCCACTGGAAGAAAGTGCAGCATGATAACACAGTCACTTGGCTGGCTTCCTGGGTGGAGAACATTCATGGGCACATCAAGTACATCATGCTAAACCCCAGCTCTAAACTTAAGGTAAAGAGTTGTGTCCATTCCCTGTAAATGCTGTTCTTGTCTTGTAGTACTGTTTGGTGGTTTTCTTACACAGTATCATTCAGGTGTTTTGTAGTGATTTTATAATCACACTTCACACAATCACAGAGTCACTCCAGTTTCAATGCAGCGTTTGCATAATGATTATTTGCAATGTTAGTTTTAAAGACAACAGCTGTGAAGCCTGCCAACAGCTTGTTCACTCATCACAGTCAGCCAACCACAACATGGGTTATATAAGACTAGTGTACTGAAAAATAGCGGAACGTGTTAAATACATTGTCAAACATGTGAAATAGCGTTGCTGTAACATTAGTTCAGTTTGTTTTGTGGCATATGCTTCAATTTATTAATTTAAAAGGGAAAAAACAAGCATTTGCTACCACTATAATAATCCTGAGCTCAGTCTTGTGTTTCCTTTTTTATGCTGTGCAGGGAGAGAAGGACTGGCAAAAGTTTGAAACTGCCCGTAAGCTGAAACTGAGAGTGGACTCGATCCGGAGTGAGTACCAGAGCGCCTGGACCTCTCGTGAGATGAAACAGCGTCAATATGGAGTGGCTTTGTATTTCATTGACAAGGTAGACGATCTCATTGTTGAGCATTTTATTATTCCATGACTGTGAAAAGACTCATTTAAAGAGATGCTACAATATTTTACAACCTGATTTCTACATGCTGCATCTGTAGCATATGGTCGATCACCGTGGACAATGTTTTGGAAGTTTTACCCCTATTTTAGAAAAGAACAGAAAACTCAGTGGCTCAAAAAGCCCTTTAACTTGAAACTCTACAAGCCGTTGGGCAATTTATGCAACGTTAGTTTTTTTTTAGTCGAAGGTATTTGTAAATTAAGCTGTACATCTGTATAATTTGCTTACTGAGATGAGCCTAATTTATTAGAGTAGTGATGCAGGTGGAAATTTCACAGGGTTAGGTATGATCACGCATGGAGAACAACACTGGGTTGCACAGGTTTTGCATACATTTGTGCTTGGGTTTGTGTATAAAGACTAAAGTCCTTAGTTAACACTAGTTAGTTTCAAGCCATCCTTTTACTAAATTTGGTGGCACCACGACTCCTTAAAGGGGAACTCCACCGATTTTTCAAAACTTGTACATAATTACATGGTTAAAATGTAAACGTCATATAGAGTGGTTTGGTGTGAAATGTTCCAGTCTAGAGAATCTTGCCAAGTGTTGATGATGGGCACCAGACATCTCATGAGTTTAATGCCTCTGAAATTTCTCTGTTATTACATGAAATGGTTAGGTATGTACTGCCTGATGACTGAGACATTGTTTAATGATAGTTTTGTAATAAAGCTTTGGCTTAAAATATATTTAAATCCATTTATGGTGGAGAGGTACATACAGGGTGTTTTAAGGCAAAATAGTCCCCAAAGAAAACTTTTTTTTTCCAGATTTTCCACTATTTTACCATCATCAACATTAGATATAAAATCTCAGAAGATGCATGTAGGTTCACTAGTGGTTTTAGGTAGTAAATAAAAAGTCTGTATTTGCGTTCTGGACATCATGACCCCTGGTTTCTATCTCCACCACTGTAAAGAAATCTGAGTCTGTACGTTTCTCTAAAATGAACCATTTCACATCAAGCCACCCTGGATGATTCACATCTCAGACACTGAATTATTTAGAAACTTTAAAGAAATTGGTGGAATTCCCATTTAGGTCATGAAGTCCCATTTTTTTAACTGGTAACAACTAACAACTAGCATTTAGTGTTTTGAGCTTTAGTTAACCAAAAGAAAGTCTACATGTGATTTCTATGTGGGTTCCATTGGCTGACACCTGTTTAGGGGAAGGTGTAAATATTTAATAGATACTAAGCTCAATGTAAAGACTGGTTTGTGTGGTGCCACCTGTTTTGATGTGGTAACATGTTAACCTGAATTTAGTAAACACTTAAGTTACAACTAGCTAACGATTGAATGTGCCAGAAAATCTTAGGGAAAGGCAAATGTAACTAAAATTGCATTTTACAGTGTTGCAGCATTGTTCAAAAGTTGAATAAAACTGTATACACAGTAGAGCTGTGCTTGTTAAACAGTCTGTCCATCCTTGATTGAACGTGTGTGTGTTCGTGTGTGTTTGTGTGTAGCTGGCTCTGAGGGCTGGTAATGAGAAGGATGATGACACAGCAGACACAGTGGGTTGCTGTTCTCTGCGTGTGGAGCACATCAACCTGCACCGCCACCTGGACGGCCAGGACTATGTGGTGGAGTTTGACTTCCTGGGCAAGGACTCCATCCGCTACTACAATAAAGTGCCTGTAGAGAAGCGAGTGAGTGCAGCCTAGTCTTTGGTCTTCCCTTATTTGTATGCCTTAAGTTTGTTTATGCTGTGAAGTGTCTCACTCTAAATGTGTGGTGTAAATATGCTCAGAGTTTTATAGCAGTGGCCCTGAAATCTTGCATGTAAATGCACTACCAGTTACTGAGGTATGTATAATATTTGCATTCAGGTTTACAAAAACTTGAAGCTTTTCATGAAATACAAGAATCCAGACGATGATTTATTTGACAGAATTTCTGTAAGTATCTTTCCTCATATATAATATATTCATTAGACATGCAGTACATTCACAAAGTATTCAGATCCCTTCAATTTTTTCCTTACTCAAGCCTCAATCTGCAATGGATTCAATTATTTCTCATCTATCTGCAAACTCCATAGTAAAAAAGCATAAACAGGTTTTTACAAAGTTTTGTAAAAACATTAAAAATAAATGTTTCACATTTACACAATTATTCAGACCTTTCACTCAATACTATGTTGAAGCACTACTATGTAGTGCAGCAGCTGCAGCCTTAAGTATTCTTGCCACAAGGTTGACACACCTGGAATTGTGGATTTTCTCCCATTCCCCTCTGCAGAAGCTCTCAGCCTTTCTCAGTTTATATGGGGAAAGTCACTGTACTGATATTTTCAGGTCTCTCCAGAGATGTTCAGTTAGATACAGGTCTGGGCTCTGGCTATGCCACTCAAGGACAGTCACTGACTTTTCCCAAAGCCACGCCTGTGTTGTTTTTGCTGTGTTTCCTTCAACAGCACAATGACTTGAGAGGCTTTGTCCCTGTCTTCCCCTCGATTCTCACAAGCCTTCCAGTTCCTGTTACTAAAATAATCTCCACAGTATATTGCTGCTGCCATTACTGTGCTTCATTGTAGGGATAGAATTGACCAGGTAATTAACAGGGCCTGAATACCTCCAGGTTTAACACTTGGAAACTTTACTTTCCTCAGATGTAGGTCTAGACACAATCCTGTTTCTGAGGTCTGCAGACAGTTTCTTTGGCTTGTTTTTGCTCTGACGTGAGCTGTCAGCTGTGGGGCTTTATATACACAGAAACACGTCTTCCAAAACACGTCCAATCAATTAGATTTACCACAAGTGATCTTGAGTAAAGTTGTAGAAACATCTTAAGGATGATGCACCTGAGCTCAGTTTCAAGTGTACTAGCAGAGGTAGATATTGCAGTTTGTTTTTTATGATAAGTCCTTGTTGTTCTTTTTCATTTTGGAGTACTTTTTTTGCAGATTGATGAGGAGGGGAAAAATGAATTTAATCCATTTTAGAGCATGGCTTCAACATAATGCAATGAGGAGGAGGGGGAGAAAATGAGTCTGGGGACTTTCTGAATGCACTGTGTTGTACAATCCTGAATAACTTTATTTCCATACAGACAATCTACCTCAATAAAAAGCTGAACGAGGCTATGCCAGGACTGACGGCAAAAGTTTTCCGAACTTTCAATGCTTCTACCACCCTGCAGGAGCAGCTGAACAAACTCACCAGCGGTCAGTGCATATGGGTCTTGTGGCCTGTGGTCAGGAGGAATCTCACGGCAGAAGTGTTAATCTAGGATCAGTTTTTGTCTTTCTTATTCAAAAATGATCAGTATCAAGGTCAGAGAGATAATACAGATTAGTTGTATGTTGCTGGAGGCTCTCAAAACATCCTTGTTTGGATTGTTTTGAGTTTCTGTGCAGTCAGTCTCAAAAAAAATGTCTTGATTCTACAGTATTGTTTCCCAGTATGTCCTTGAGAGCACCAGCATTACAGACTCTAGCACCTTGTTCAGCTTATTCGACATCCAATTAGCAAGTTATTAAGCAGTTCTTTTGCTGAATAAGATGTTGCAGTTGTGAATACACAAGGTTTATTTATTCTTTTATTTTTTGTATTTCTTTATTTATTTATTTATTTTTTTTATTCGTTTGGAGCTTAGAGTCTCCTAATAACAATGAATGTAACCATATATTCTCAATTCAGTTGACGTAGGGTTTTAATTCTCGATAGGATAAATAGCCAAAGTGATCAATTACCAGCATTGTTACTCACATGCATTATGAAACAACCAGACCATCCCTATAACTGTGTACAATGCTTCCATTAGCATTTTCTTTGTACTTTAAATCATTTAGTAATTGTCATGTTTACAGGTCATTCTGTGTGATGCAGTACGACACTGACCTTTTATTTTCTACATTATGTAACTGTCATTGGCGCTAATCTTTTATGTCAATAAATGTCAGATGACATGACGCTGCCGGAGAAGATCCTGGCCTATAATCGTGCAAACAGAGCTGTGGCTCTACTCTGCAACCACCAGAGGGCAGCACCCAAAACATTTGAGAAATCCATGCAGTTGCTGCAGGAGAAGGTAAGACTGTATCTGCTGCGCAGTCCATGTTCAGAAGAATTAATCCTGCACTCAGTCCATACTACACACGTCTGTACTGACAGCTGTCAAGTCATACTTTATTAAGCCCATATTAAACTGAAGCAGATGCTTAAAACCATTAGCTGGATTGTAAACTTTCAAGATGAAATGTCTAGGGAAAAGAAGAAAGAGATTTTTTTTTTTTTAAAAAGTCCAGCCTGATTCTGTCTGTGAGGAGCTACTAAACAAGTGGAGTCTTTGCTGTGTGTGTCTTCAGAGACACAGTAATGTGGGCTGACAAATGCTGATCCTGAAGTCACAACAGTTCTTCAGTGTTATTTGGTGATAGCAGTAACTGTGATTTGAAGGGGTCAGTCCTGGTGTGGTAGAGGCTTAGTTAATGTGAAAAGTGTTTTAAAAAAATAAAAATAGAAAAAATCAGAGTGAGCAGAGGCAGCACTGGAACAGTTTGCTTGACCTGCCATCTATTCTGCCGTACTTGTCCTTACATAGTCTGCATATCGCTTATGTACCGAGTATGTAGTGTATTGTTTATGAATTATATGTACATTGGCTGTATATTGCATATAATACTAGAGACACCAACGGCCGGAACCAAATTCTTTGCGTGTCAATGTACTTGTCCAATAAATTTGATTCTGATTCTGATGTTTTGGCACCCCTGATTAAACAATATGTTTTGTTGAGAATAAGTTAACTTGTCTTTTACAGAGAACACTTCTGCATATTTTAATGCACAATTGCTGTTTATTTGCTGTGTTTAACATACTGGAAAAAAACATGAATGTGGCCTGTGCAAACACAATGCGTTATTTTGTTTTTGTTTTTTGTTTTTTTTCAATAAATAGAAACTGTGCACTAAAATTAGCAGAGGAATGTCATATTTACCGGTGTTCTCTGTAAAGGATGTGCTAACTTTAATTTTCACTTAACAGAAAATGTCACTTAACCTTTGGTCTTCAAACATTTGCAAACAGCTGTATTTTTTAGGCTTTCTGAGTGAGTTTTAGATGTTTTTAGTTTAAAAGTTTCACATCTGCCTTGTTTTGTGCAGAGAAGTATAACTTGTTCATTAGTTAGATTTGTTTAACATGTGTGAACACTTCACCTGCACCCAAGTGCACACCAAAATGGAACCATTGTCAAAAATCGCACTTTTGTTCAGTTAGCTGCTGTTGGAGACGGTTTTTACAAACATAAGAATAACTAGAGCATGCTTTCTTGATGCATGTAACTGTCTGTGTAATCTAAAGAATAAAGAAATAGAGGTTGAGTAAGATTTATTTTTATTTCTTTGATTATGATACATTTAGAAATCTGTTTTCATGGGTATGATTTATATATTTATGTCAAGATTATATTTTTGGTAGATCTGGATTTTACACTATGATTTCAGGTTTTTGGCACTAATGGAAGCAAAGTAGCAGAGCACTTGTGTTCCTGATAAATTTCTGGCCAAACAAAGATCACCATGTGTAAAATCTGGAGCACCACTGCAATGTAAAACCAAATGAAGCTAACTGGCAATATTACCAAAACCCAAACTCAAGCAAGCTAGTTGTAATAACAGCCAAAGAAATGTTACAATCATATCAGTACAAAATACTAACTAAAACTAAACTAAATCTGTTGAAGACTGTTTCATTTTCAACAAACACTTGTTCGTTCGTTCGTTCGTTCGTTCGTTCGTTCGTTCATTCATTCCATTTATATAGCGCATTTCTCATACACATAATTGCTTCACAGATCATAGTTATTGTTTTTGCTGCTGCCTGACAGACTAACAGACTATTAATCAGATTTATTACAGTACAATGTTGTCATTAGCTTGGTAGTAGTAGACTATCCTTGCCTTCTATCTGTGTGTGTTCTGCTATTTTTGTAACCTTGTGAAGTTGCTTAGATGATTTTTTTTTTTTGCAGATCAAAAAGAAACAGGAGGAAGTGAAGAAGGCCAAAAAGGAGCTGAAACAAGCAAAGAAAGAACACAAGCAGGTTCCATCGGAGGCGTCGCAAAAGTAAGAAATCAGCATTAAAATCACTACCATTTTCTTTGGGCTTGATTCAAGGTTAGTCTGTTGAATGTTTTGTCTGAGCTGGCAACAGCCTTTCGACATGTTTTTGGTAAACACAACATTAAATATTCAAACTTGTCAAGGGCCAAGAGATTGTTCAAAGAAGAGGAGCGATAAACAGCCTCCGATTTATCCAAAGCAAAAACATCCTTGCAGATTATTCGGTTTGATTTGAAATACAACTGGTAATTAACTTGACTTGATGTCAGCTCCATTTGTGTAATGTCTTAGACACATACAGTGTTTATTATGCAGATATGTTGTCGGTTTAAAGTCACAGCTATGATTTTGAATTTGTAAATGCATTTTATGTAAGCATGCGATCAGAAAGAAATGGAGCGCATGTGCGGTTGTAAAGAATCTCACCTAACGTGAATTAATACGTCCAATATAAGGAACCAACCAGCTCTTTAGCATAAAAACACAAAACTGAGTCAATACTAATCTGCATAATGCCCCTGCAGTATGCCTGAAAATGTATCTTTCTTTCTCTCCTTCCTTGATCAGGCTGGTGCAGAAGAAGGAAAAGACTGTGAAGAGGCTGGTGGAGCAGCTAAAGAAGCTCCAGCTACTGGAGACTGACCGAAAAGAGAACAAGGTCATCGCTCTGGGCACTTCCAAGCTCAACTACCTCGACCCCCGCATCTCTGTGGCCTGGTAAAGTACAACATGCACCCGCATCCATCTTACACATTACACACTTCCACTCTACTGCCTGGGGTCTGTGCTGTGTGCTGGTACTTTTTTTTGCTATTAATCATAGCAAGAATTAAGAATATGAAAATGCAGAATTACTGCAGTTGTAGGTGCAAAAGGTGATGCAGATGCAAATCATATGACCAGCCATGTGATAAGCAGCGAGCCAGTAATGTGACTGACATTACAAAAATAATTGAGATTGTAGGGCGTGTATGTGCTTAATTAAAAAAAAGATAATTAGCCCATAAGATATTCTCTCTGAGATCTTGGTCTTAATGTGGTTCATTCAACAGAAGGACCCTGAAGGGGCACTCTGTGATTTAAGAATGGCAAAGTGGTCACATCTGCTCCAAATTAGCAAGAAGGGGGGTGTGGAGACAGGCTTTCCTCTTTAAATTCATAGATGCAGAAACCAATAGTCACTAACATATGTTTTGAAGCTGTAATTGCTTTGTTTACTCTCATTGTCTGTAAAAGTTTGTCTGTAGATGACTGTTTGCGGTCAGGGCTCTGAAAGAGCATTGTAAGCTCAGTGTCACGCTGAACCACACAACATCACTTAGCCTTGTTGTTTGCAAGTATAAGACAATTTCTGCAAATGGAGTAATAGACATGCAGCTAAAACAATGACTGAGGTCCAAACTTCAGCTGTGCTCAGTATATTGAAAGGGGAATTCCACTCTGATTTTTTTCAAAATGTTCACATAATTGAAACATTAAGATGTAAACAGAGTCATTCAGAGTGGTTTGATGCGAGATGTGTTGTGGAATCAGAATTGCTCACAGTGGTGGTGATGGGAACCAGACGTCCGAAGAGTTTAATGCCTCTAAAAGCTCCCACACAAAGTTATTATATGAAATGGTCATGAGTAAGCAACTCAATGCCTTGTTTTATGATTGAGATGAGATTGTGGCCTAAAATGCATTTTTCTAAATACATTCATGGTGGAGGGGTACATACAAGGTGTCGTAAGGCAAAATAATGCCCATAGACATTGTTTTTCAGACTTGGTACTATTTTACCATTCTCAGTATTGCAAAAACACACTCAGCAGACATATGTAGGTTCACTGGTGGTTTTGGATGGTGAATAAAATGGCTATATTTGTGATGTAGACAATGCAGCCCCTGGGTCATATAAGCACCAACCTCATTTCTGTAAGATTCTCTGAAGTTACGTATTTTGCATCAAACCACTCTGAATGATTTCATTTACATCTCTGTGATTGTCATAGAGACATCTTGAAAAATCTGTGAAATATCCCTTTAAGGCAATGATTGCAGTGCAGTTCCTCACTGTTGCTCTTTGCTCTGTGCTATGCCTGCTCCCTCAGAGGGGCTGACTGTTAGATTTGGGTCTTCGTTTGTTCTGATCAGAAAAAAATGTTCCTCGAGCAGGTGTAAGAAAAATAACGTTCCAGTGGAGAAGATCTACAACAAGACTCAGAGGGCCAAGTTTGCCTGGGCCATCGACATGACTGATGAAAACTTCCAGTTCTAACACACGCAGAAGAGGATGTGCTTTCCTTTGTTTGCTTTTTTCTCTTCCCTTCGACATTTCTTTTGACCATTCAAACAGCAGCTTTTGTTAAGTTTTTTTCATGTGATGTGTTTTTTGCCAAACTTAGTTAAATATGACAGATATGACGTGTCTTTTGTGTTGAATTTGTTTGTGTAGTAAAATGTGAATACAAAGCTGAAGGTCACTTGCTTTTTTTTTCTTTTTTTTTTTCCTCTTGGGTTTTCCTTGAAGAGATGTGTGGATTATGGAGCCCATGTTGTAAGCAGTTTCAGTTTGAACTCTCTAGTTCTCATCTGAGCTCTCTCGTTTTCTTTACAGTATATTAAACATAGAAGCTGCAACTGTGTCACACGTGACTGGGACCAGTTTTCAGTGTCTCTTCAGTAGTGATTAGTGAATTCCTGATCATTGTGATTAGTGCTCAGAAATCAGTGGGCTTTTTGATAATTGGGGTGCTTTTTGTTTTGCTTTTTGCCCATTGTTATCACAGCCAGCCCCCTTTTTCCACATAAGAGGCCTCCATCAAATGCTTAAAAAAGTGGTAAAATACATGTAAAAGATCAGAAAGTGTCTGAAAATGTCTTTAGATCTATATCATGTATTAAATTAAGCAATGTCTGATCCAGGCATGTTTTAATGGATAGGGTATCTGCTGAATTAAGCCCACTCTGGTTCTCATGTTCTTATTTCTTTATGCGCTCTGTTTACTCTGCTGTGGTAGAGGCGACACAAACAAACATTTTCCACAAAAATACAGTCTTCAGCAACAATGTTATAATGCAGCATGAAGCTATTTTTAAGGTGGAAAATGAAAACGTGTAGTATCCGCATTGCCCGTGTTTAAACTTGCCACCTTTTTCTAGGCCAGTGGTTCCCAAACTGGTCCTCGTGGACACCCAGATGGTCCACATTTACATGCATTCAAAATGTGAGCATGCACATATTACCCGTAAAGTCCATTTCCTTCTGCTTTCTGTGCCATCAAGACCCTGTATAAAATGCACTCCTGCAATGTTTTCTCACAAGACACAGCTGGTTTAAAACTTGTGTGTTCAAAGCAGTAATTAAAGAGCAGGATGCCGTGGCATGTCAGTGATATTTAAATGTAGCATGTTTACAACCTTACTTCTACTATAATGGTTATTTCACATAAGTAGTCCAATAAAACAGCATTTGTCTGTTCAGACTGTATACCACTGTGCATACATCAAAAATTATCTTCCTGCATAATATTAAAGTAAATGTTAGCCAAATCATCAGGACACTGTAACATAGTCATTTTAAGTAGACTAAAAGTCGTCCATAAAACCCATATGTGAATTTATTGTGGGATTAATTGGCTGCCTAGCACATCTTATCTAAACGTTGCATCTGTATTATCTATTAAAACACAAGTATAGAACTTGGATTGAATTCAGAAGCAAACTGCCTAATTCCTAATTTAGTAAAGTCCAGCAATCAAAAATATCCAGGCAACAGTGAACATGTGACAGAAATGGAAGAAGAGCTACAGGAAAGCAAATAAAACACTGAAAAGACAGTGCTTAGATTATGAAATCAAAAAGGATAGATCCTTTGTGTGTGTTATTCAGTGGAAACGTTTCTACTTTGTAGAGGTCTTAAAATGATATTAAAAGATAAAAAGTGGGTAGTAATGAAATACATGTAAATGTAGTTAAGATACAAAAAAGGGACACATTATCAAAACAGGGTGATTGCTAACAGGATTACATCAAAATACTCTATACTCTTGCACACCAAACTTTTTTTTGGTTTTTTTTGTTTTTTTACCTAAGCAGAATTATGAACTCACTCCGCCAACCTCTGTTGTTGCTGTTTGAAGGCCTAGCCACTTTCCTGAAAGCATCGTTGGGCAGCCACTGTGGTAACCATGGAGAGAGCGTTCAAAATGATAGAGATACTATCCTTTCACTATGTCTTAATCAGCTGAAAGCATTCTGCTTTTGTCCATTTCAAAATAAAAGTCCAGTGTGTCTAGCGTGCATAGTTTTGGCAGACAGCTGCGTCCCTGTTCCTATATTAATTTATTTTTAAGAAGTGCAGTTTTGGTGTTGACATTATTTTATCTTTGTTTAATTATGTGATTTTAAAAAGGCAAGTAATCCAAAAGAAACCAAGTAATCAGATACATGACTTTTACATAATAATCATTTTGATTAGGTGACAGATTACATTTATTGCACTTTACTAAAGGGCAGCATACATAAGGCTATACAAACCCCTTCATGAGCCTTTCATGACAACTGACATAACCCTACATAAAAATTTATAAAGGCTTATTCAATTGTCATAAGGCCACTTATATCAGTTTCAGTGTCCTTACTCTTCAGGATGTTTTATGGTAACTGATGCTTGTTGGGAAAAGCCTTTATTAATGGTAATATAGGTTTGTCAGTTGTCATGAAAGGTTTATGTAGGTGTCATGTTGCCTTATGAATGTCTTTCAGTAAAGTGTTTAACATTTTTTTAAAACAGGTAATCATCAACCTCTACCATTGTACAATTTAAAAGTAACCCTCTCAATCCTGAATGTATACAATCGTTTCACTGTAGTTTACCAGCATACAGCCCTGTCAAGCCTGATCTTTTCAATTATCATTTAAACCTCATTTATATACTGATATATACAACCTCAGTTCCAAAAGTTGGTACAGTGTGTGAAATGCAAATAAAAGCAGAAAGCAGTGATTTGTAAATCCACTTTGACCTGTTTTTAAACAAAAGTCAAGATATATAATGTTTTGTGTTATGTTGCTTCCTGCAACATGTTTCAAAAAAGTTGGGATAGGGGCAATTTATAACTAGGAACCATATTAAATGTTCAAAAAAAGACGTAAGTGATGTAGCCATGCTTTGTTATAAACGGAGCATCCAGGAAAAGTCTAGTCCTATATGAGCATGGATGGCTCGCGCCTCACCAACTTGCCAAAAAATAGCTCAGCTGTTAAAGAACAGCATTTCTCAATGAGTGATCTCAAGGATTGTAGGTTTTTCACCCTTTACAATGCATAATACTACCAAAAGATTCAGGGAATCCAGAGAAATCTCTTTGCATAAAATCAAGGCCAGAAAACACAACTGAATGCCTGTGACCTTCAATCCTTCATATGGGCTTGCATTAAAAACCGGCATGCTTCTATGATGGATATCATTCACATGGGCTTGGAAATACTTAGAAAAACTGTGATCAATAAACACTGTCCTTCACTACATCCATAAATGCTAGTTAAGACTGTACTGTGCACAGTGGAAGTCATATGTCAGTAATGTTCAGAAGCACTACTGACTTCTCTGGAGCTCATCTGAAATGGACTGACGCTCAGTAGAGACATGTATTGTGATCTGATGAGTCAACCTTTCAGGTTGTTTATGGAAACAGTGAACATTGTGTTCTCGGGCCAAAGAAGAAAAGGTCCATTCAGATTGTTACCGGCATAAAGTTCAAAAGCCAGGGTCTGTCATGGTGTTAGTGGTTAGTGGTTAAGTTGCACATCTGTGAAGACATCATAAATACTGAAAGATTGTTCAGCATGAATTCAGGTATTCAGATATGTAGAAGTATTGAGCTCAAATAAGTTAACACATTCTCTACAGAGAACACATTTATGCACAATTTAATACACGCATACTGTTTATTTGCTGAATTGACTATTGAGAAAAAAAAGGTGGCTTGTGCAAAAGTTATAGCACATTTGGTACAGCTTGATTTATTTTCCAGCATATTAAACCCAACAAATAAATGGATACACTAAAATTTGCAGGAAAATGCCATATTTCTTAACACATCTGTAGAAGATGTCTTAACATTTCACTTAGGATATCAACAAAACCTGTAATTTAACCAGGTATATTCGAACTTGCATAAGACTGTATAATGGAGTCTGTATAAGGAGCAACACATTTTCATGTACGTGAAGTCTTAGTGTAAGATAGCATTTACAACGTTTTAAGTTATCTCTATGTCCTAAGCTAAGAAGTATCATTAAGTATGCATAGCGTGTAACAATTTAATTTTGGTAAAGTGCAAGAATAGAGACAATGGATTTAGTCTGAGTATTAGTTGAAGAGATGAGTTTTCTAACTCCTCCAGAACGTAGGGAGTGTCTGAGCTGTCTGAATCAATATGGAAAGCTTATCCTACTGCTGAAGGGCCAGCACGGCTAAGTGGAGGGCTCTTGCCTTATGAGTATGGTTTGTTGACATGGAAAGGGCTGCTGGGCATAGTGAGTTTGAGGTTGTGAGCTTTAGTTTTTACCCCACTGAGACTGTTTCAACAGATTCATTAGAAACCAAAGACAAATTGCTCTAATATTCCAGCTGGTAGCGGAGGGCGTGAGCTTACTTACACAGTCAGCACCTGTAATATGAAATTGAAGCTTCTGAGCATAGATCTTGATGCAAATGGAGACATTGTAAATGAAATTTCTCTGAGTAGAAGAGGCTTTAGATGGCTCTACCCCCCGCTTGGAATTATATGCATAACCCCTGCTGGACTGGCCACGAAGAGGGCTAGTTTCTCATGTCATGGTGCACTAGGCATTACTCAGAGAATTTTAAATTCACTTTTTTCTAAGGGCTTGTGCTCAGTGTGGCTGATCTGTGAAGCATCCAGAAATCCTTTTGGCTTCAATTTTAGTCTTTTATTCTTGCCACTATTAACAGGCCTCAAGAGCTTTGCTCTTACTCCATATGCAGACTGCAATGCAAAGGATTTAATGTTCATGTGGAAAATGAAAGGGCTGTATTGCCATTTTTTTTGGTTTGCATATTTTGTCAAATCTATCAGTGTTGACTTTAGAAACACATTAATTGACAGATTTGACAAAATATGCAATGAAATGACACCACCCCATGTGCCTGATGTACCCATACCACTGCACCAAGCTGTTCACAAACTCCCAGGATTTCTTTTAGTGCTCAACGCCTTCAGATCTTCCTGAGCTGAAAGCGGTGATGCTACCTTTTAAACTGCTTTAGGTGTAGTCACAGTGCAGGAAGGTCATTTGTGGAAAAAGACTGCATTATAGACTCTATCTGAGCTCTTAAATAAGCTTCTCGGAAACTGGAACATTGATAACGACAAGCTCTCTAAAATAGCTAGCAAATACTTTCTAATTATAGGTGAACTCTGGCAGCCATGACGTCAATATATTCCTGTGACACGAAACAATAATGCTTTTTTTTCAGAACAGACTGATGATGATACAGGCTGAAACTGAGATTCCATTAGTCTGTGATAGCAATCATTACGTGCTTTAGCACTATAACATGAGAGCAAATGTGTTTCACAAGTAACTTAACGGCTGTCATTCGGTTGCAGGCACGAGCTGAAGGCGAGTACTATTGGTCCAGTTTAATAGTACATGACCTTCTGTGTTCTACTGCTTTTATACAGCATTTCTGGAAAATAAAAAAGTAAAGGAGCCTTGAACAAACAGTGTGTCAAATAAGATTTAATATTTGCAATTCCTTCCTCCGAAAAAGTAGTGCATTCTAAGTTACAGATTCAGCCATTAAACTCGCAATATCAGGTTCAGCTCAGCTTTTCCTAAATTTAAATGTCAATGTATTTTTTAACCTTTTAACAGCTCTTGTTTGCTGTTCATTTTTGGCTAATTCCATTTTGTTTAGTTGAATTCGTCACAGTGGCCGACTGAAAAGCTTGCTTAGGAGCAACGACAAGTATTGACTAAATGAGCTGCAAGTCAGAAATGATCTTATAAAAGTTTTCTAATGTATCCACTTTCTGTTTCTGTGTGTGCTAAAGAAGAAAATTAGCTGCAGCATAGTGTAAACAGTTAGTGTGGGGGAAAAAGAATTCTCAATCAAATTCTCATCAGAACTAAGCGTTGTATAAATTACATTAGCTGCTAAAATCCCTACAACAAAAAGATCAAACATCTTCAGATCCTTCACACTGCTTAGGTCTTTAACCGCAGTTGGATCCAGTGAATGCAAACTTTATAAATACAGGCATCTTCCATCTTCCAGCTTGTTCCAATGATTAG